TTTTTTAATAGGCTAGTTTTCCTACAATGAATGTACATACATGCCATTAGATGGATCCTGACCCCCATATCCCTTTGAAAGGGGCGTAGGGGCAAATATTGTAAAAATTTGAATTATCACAACTTTCGGGCCGAAATTAGAAGGGTCGGGGTGGTTCAGCATTTTGGAGGAAAATATATATTTTTTCTAATAGGTTAGTTTCCCAACAATGAATGTCCATACATGCCATTAGATGGATCTTGACCCCCATATCCCTTTGAAAGGGGCGTAGGGGCAAATATTGTGATAATTTGAATAAACACCAATTTCAGGCCGAAATGGTAAGGGCCGGGTGGTTCAGCATTTTGGAGGAAAATATTATATTTTTTTAATAGGCTAGTTTCCCCCAAAGAATGTACCTACATGCCATTAGATGGATCCTGACCCCCATATCCCTTTGAAAGGGGCGTAGGGGCAAATATTGTAAAAATTTGAATTATCACAACTTTCGGGCCGAAATTGTAAGGGCCGGGGTGGTTCAGCATTTTGAAGGAAAAAATTATATTTTTTGATTAGGCTAGTTACCCCACAATGAATGTACATACATGCCATTAGATGAATCCTGACCCCCATATCCCTTTGAAAGGGGCGTAGGGGCAAATATTGTGATAATTTGAATAAACACTAATTTCAGGCCGAAATGGTAAGGACCGGGGTGGTTCAGCATTTTGGAGGAAAATATTATATTTTTTGAATAGGCTAGTTTCCCCACAATGAATGTACATACATGCCATTAGATGGATCCTGACCCCCATATCCCTTTGAAAGGGGCGAGGGGCAAATATTGTAAAAATTTGAATTATCACAACTTTCGTGCCGAAATTGTAAGGGCCGGGTGGTTCAGCATTTTGGAGGAAAATATATTTTTTTTTTAATAGGCTAGTTTTCCTACAATGAATGTACATACATGCCATTAGATGGATCCTGACCCCCATATCCCTTTGAAAGGGGCGTAGGGGCAAATATTGTAAAAATTTGAATTATCACAACTTTCGGGCCGAAATTAGAAGGGTCGGGGTGGTTCAGCATTTTGGAGGAAATATATATTTTTTTTTAATAGGTTAGTTTCCCAACAATGAATGTCCATACATGCCATTAGATGGATCTTTAGCCCCATATCCCTTTGATAGGGGCGTAGGGGCAAATATTGTGATAATTTGAATAAACACCAATTTCAGGCCGAAATGGTAAGGGCCGGGGTGGTTCAGCATTTTGGAGGAAAATATATTTTCATGCCTCCGCCACCGAAGGTGGTGCCGGAGGCATCATGTTTTCGGGTTGTCCGTCCGTACGTCCGTCCCGTTTGACCGTTATCACAATATCTCAAGAACCATTTAAGATTTAAAGTTAAGACTCGGGAATAGTAGTTATCACCATAGGAAGACGATCTGATTAGATTTTGGAGTACGTAGGTCAAAGGTCACAGGTCACAGAGGTCAACTTATGAAATTCCTTGTATTGAGTTTGTTAGCGCGATATCTCAAGAACCATTTGAGATTTAAACTTCAAACTTAAGGATAGTATGTATCACCATAGGAAGACGATCTGATCAGATTTTGGAGCACGTATGTCAAAGGTCAAGGGTCACAGAGGTCAACTTATGAAATTCCATACATTGAGATTGTTTTCATGATATCTCAAGAACCACTGGAGATTTAAACTTCAAACTTAGTGATAGTGTGTATCACTATAGGAAAACAATCTGAATACATTTTGGAGCACGTAGGTCAAAGTTCAAGGTCATAGAGGTCAACTTATGAAATTCCATACATTGAGATTGTTATCATGATATCTCAAGAACCACTGGAGATGTAAAAACTTCAAACTTAAGGATAGTATGTATCACCATAGGAAGACGATCTGATTAGATTTTGGAGCACGTAGGTCAAAGGTCAAGGGTCACAGAGGTCAAAATATGAAATTCCATACATTGAGATTGTTATCATAATATCTCAAGAACCACTGGAGATTTAAACTTCAAACTTAATGACAGTGTGTATCACCATAGGAAGACAATCTGATTAGATTTTGGAGCACGTAGGTCAAAGGTCAAGGGTCACAGAGGTCAACTTATGAAATTCCATACATTGAGATCGTTATCGCGATATCTCAAGAACCACTGGAGAATTTTCACTTTAAACTTAATGATAGTTTGTTTCACCATATCATAATATCTCAAGAACCACAGGAGATTTAAACTTCAAACTTAATGATAGTGTGTATCACCATAGGAAGACAATCTGATTAGATTTTGGAGCACGTAGGTCAAAGGTCAAGGGTCACAGAGGTCAACTTATGAAATTCCATACATTGAGATCGTTATCGCGATATCTCAAGAACCACTGGAGTTTTTTTCACTTCAAACTTAATGATAGTATGTATCACCATATCATAATATCTCAAGAACCACTGGAGATTTAAACTTCAAACTTAATGATAGTGTGTATCACCATAGGAAGACAATCTGATTAGATTTTGGAGCACGTAGGTCAAAGGTCAAGGGTCACAGAGGTCAACTTATGAAATTCCATACATTGAGATCGTTATCGCGATATCTCAAGGACCACTGGAGATTTTTCACTTCAAACTTAATGATAGTATGTATCACCATATCATAATATCTCAAGAACCACTGGAGATTTAAACTTCAAACTTAATGATAGTGTGTATCACCATAGGAAGACAATCTGATTAGATTTTGGAGCACGTAGGTCAAAGGTCAAGGGTCACAGAGGTCAACTTATGAAATTCCATACATTGAGATTGTTATCATGATATCTCAAGAACCACTGGAGATTTAAACTCCAAACTTGTTTAAATTGCTCTATGGCGGAGGCATCATTTTCGACTGCGCGCAGTCAAAATTCCATCTATTTTTTAATTTTTTTTACTAAAGGCGGGTTAGTTCTCACTTTACATGCAATCATTATTCTGAATAATATTAGTTAGATTTTCCCTAAATTATTGGTAATAAATCAACATATATTACCCTAATAGCTTTTCTGAGGATCTTTAGTATTCCTTTGCCCTTTCGTATGCGATGAGTTGCCAGATGTCATTATCAGCCTTTTAGCATATCTATAATCTGTAGTTCTCAATTTACATGCACTTCATGTTTCTGATGTAGATATTGTAGAGGCTTGTACTTCAAGCCATTATTTTTTAAGTAGCCGGAGGCATTATGTTTTCGGGTTGTCCGTCCGTCCGTACGTACGTCCCGTTCTCGTGATCGCGTTATCTCAAGAACCGACTGATGGATTCCTACCAAACTTTGGTCATGTATGTAACTTGCAGAGCCAATGAACTGATTAGATTTTGGGGTCACGAGGTCAAAGGTCAAAGGTCACAGGGCTCATTATGTATGCAAAAATAGCTTGTGATCGCGTTATCTCAAGAACCGACTGATGGATTCCTACCAAACTTTGGTCATGTATGTAACTTGCAGAGTCAATGAACTGATTAGATTTTTGGGGTCACGAGGTCAAAGGTCAAAGGTCACAGGGCTCATTATGTATGCAAAAATAGCTTGTGATGGCGTTATCTCAAGAACCGACTGATGGATTCCTACCAAACTTAGGTCATGTATGTAACTTGCCGAGCCTATGAACTGATTAGATTTTGGGGTTACGAGGTCAAAGGTCACAGGGCTCATTATGTATGCAAAAAAAGCTTGTGATCACGTTATCTCAAGAACTGACCGATGGATTCCTACCAAACTTTGGTCATGTATGTAACTTGCAGAGCCAATGAACTGATTAAATTTTGGGGTCACGAGGTCAAAGGTCACAGGGCTCAATATGTATGCAAAAATAGCTTGTGATCGCGTTATCTCAAGAACCGATTGATGGATTCCTGCCAAACTTAGGTTATGTATATATCTTGCAGAGCCAATGAATTGATTAGATTTTGGGGTCAAGGTCAAAGGTCATGGGGCTCATTATGTATGCAAAAAAAGCTTGTGATTGCATTATCATTAGAACCGATGGATGGATTACCATCAAACTCAAGACATGCATATATATGTATTTTGCATTTGAGGTCATGAGTTCAAAGATCAAAGGGTCATACATGTATATGAGAAATAGCTTGTATAATCACGATATTCTGAGAACCTGTTATGGAATACAACCGAACTTGAATTTGAAATATTTCTTCCGTTTTGGTTTGTAAAATTGCTCTATGACGGAGGCATCACTTTCGACTGCGCGCAGTCGAAGTTCCATCTAGTTTTTAAGGGCTTGATTTTCTGAAATTTCTGAAATTTTGTAGGGTCTTGAATTTAAAACATGTATTAAGAAGCTGGCAGTGCATGCACGAACAAGTATTGCAAGTAGCCTACAAGTATTAAAGTGGATTTTCCAACCTTGATAGCAAACTGGGCTAGAGGAAAGCAGATAAATCAGCAGAGTGCACTTGTGAAATCAGACAAAAAATGAGAAAAATTTGAATATTTGAAAGTTGTAATCACTATAGGTAGGGGCTCTTTATAATGGATTAATCGATAATGTCTATGAGGTGTAGTTGTGGACAACTAAAAATGATCAACTCTGGAGGGTCCTTTCTCTTTAGAGGACCTGTTATAATATGATATCCATAATGTATTTTGAGTAGCGCCCCACGGAGAAGCCACTTAGGAGAAGAACAGAAATTAATAATATTTTTTGTACATGAAAAACAGCTTATACAGTATTTAAAGCCTATCTGCTTTAGTTTGGCCTGGAGGGATTGGACCTCCCTGCGTGGTCACCGGCAGGTGGTTATCTCATCAAATCAGCTCTCAATTAACATTAAAAAAGGGGACCATGGGGATCAACAGGTACCTCTTAGACAATGTTGGCTGTATAGAGGGCGCAAGTAGCTACAAGGAGTGCAGTCCCGCTTTAAAGGAATAGATGAAGTGAAAAATGTTACAATGTTACTATGATGGTCATGTGTTTTGTTTATTTTTGCCTTCCAGGTTTTGTGTTAAGCTACTGGTGTTTCAGTCCAGGTTTTAGCATGCAGGAGTTGTATTCACAAGGCGTTCGTTCCATCATCCTAACTTCAGGAACGTTAGCCCCACTGAACTCATTTAAATCTGAACTTAGTATGTAAGTACACCCAAGATAGATTCAGATATTGTGTGTAATTGCATGTAGGTATTTCAGCATGTAGGAGTTGTTTTCACAAGGTGTTCGTTCCATTATTCTGACCACGCACAAATGTTTGGTCCAAACTATTTAACTATTCCTTGTCATATTTTGACTGGTCAGGCATTTGAAGTTCAATCCTTTATAAGTATTTATTTTCCATGATATTCTTCAAAGTAAAGATACAAAATGTTTACCGGTAATGCAATGTGCTTAAAGGGCACGTCCACTCCAAAAATAACCTACTTCCATTAGCAGAAAAAGCAAGCAGAAAAATTGGACAAACCAATCAAAAATGTTTGAGCAAAATCGGATAACTAATAAGAAAGTTATGATTATTTAATGACATGAAGAACTTTGAAAATCACAAGACAAATAGGCAACTCACTCATGAGTCTGTGATGTCATTGCCTCACGATCCACTAATTGTTTTCTTTATATTGTTAATATAAATTTCCCCTTCCCCCCCCCCCCCCCCCCTAAGAATCTCATTTCCTCACACCAGCATCCAAGCTATATCGATAGTAATATGTTTTTGTGTGGATGCACTAATATAGAGTAATTTTTTCAGTTAAATCATGACAAATTTTAATTTTGATAAACTATTCATATAAAAATCAATAATTATGAAAATACAATATACAGAAAATAGTACCAATTCTTCAAAGTTCATAAAAGATTTTGTGAAATGTCGTGCATGCAATATGATACAAACCATATAACCTGGGCAAATGCATGGGGAAATTAAGTTTTGAGGGATGAAAAGGAAAATTAGTGGGAGCAAAATATATAAAGCAATTGATAAACAGTGAGGCAATGACATCACAAACTGATAACCAAATTTGCAATTTGTGTAGTGATTTCCATTGTTCCATAGTTTTCCATTCTTTTTCAAAAATTCATAACTTATTAGTAATCCGATTTTCCCCAATTTTTGTTTGCTCTGTTTATCTTGTTTTTCTGCATCTATTAAAAGCAATTTTTTTTTGGAGTGGACTTAGCCTTTAAAAAAAAACTGCAGTGGTTTACGGCAGCATAATACGAACCATAATAATTTCTGCTATCAGAATCAAATGATGGCTGTTGATTGTTTTATTTTGTTTTGTTGGCACTGTGTAGAGATTTCCCAATTCAGCTGGAGAACCCTCACGTGATTGACAAGCATCAAATGGTGGTAGGTGTGATGACGAAGGGACCCGATGGAACAGTTCTCAACTCCTCCTACCAGACCAGGTTCAAGAAGGAGTATGTACTCTCACTGGGAAATGCAATAGGTATGGTATGGATGCAGGAGGGAGGGAGGGAGGGAGGGAGGGAGGGAGGGAGGGAGGGAGGGAGGGAGGGAGGGAGGGAGGGAGGGAGGGAGGGAGGGAGGGAGGGAGGGAGGGAGGATGGGTGGGAGGGAGGGAGGGAGGGAGGGAGGGAGAGAGGGGATAGGGAGGGGAGAGGGAGGGAGTGAGGAGGGAGGGTGGGGGAAGGAGGGAGGGGGAGAGAGGGGAGAGCGAGAGAGAGAATGGGAGAGAGAGAAAGGGAGAGAAGGATGAGGGAGGGAGAGAGAAAGAGGGAGAGAGAAAGAGAAGCAGAGAGAGAGAGAGAGAGAGAGAGAGTGGGCGGGGGGGGGGGGGGGGGGGGGGGGGGGGGGAGGGAGGGAGAGAGGGGATAGGGAGGGGATAGGGAGGGGATAGGGAGGGAGTGAGGAGGGAGGGTGGGGGAAGGAGGGAGGGGGAGAGAGGGGAGAGAGGGGCGAGCGAGAGAGAGAATGGGAGAGAGAGGAAGGGAGAGAAGGATGAGGGAGGGAGAGAGAAAGAGGGAGGAGAGAGAAAGAGGGAGAGAGAAAGAGAAGCGGAGAGAGAGAGAGAGAGAGAGAGAGTGGGTGGGGGAGGGGAGGGGGGGGGGGGGGAGGTAGAGAACAAGTGAGTTGTAGACAAGAAAATATGGAACTAAAAGATGAGGAGGGAGATGAAGGAAGAGATGATGTGTGCAAAAGTGGAGGAAAAGGGAGTTAACAAAAGAGAAGAGAGAAAGAGCAGGGAAACTGAAAGAAGAGGAGAGGATGGGGGAAAAACAGGGGATGGGAGAGTGGAGATATTAAGAGAGAAAAGGAGCCTTAGTGAAGAGAGAGAGAGAGACAGATAGATAGTCAGAGAAAGGGTGGGTGGAAATATAGAGAGAGGAAGAGAGAAGGAGTTGGAGGAAAATAAAGCAAGAAGAATAAAATGGATAGGATTATAAAACATTAGGAAGGAGAAAACAGAGATAAAGAGGAAGAGCAAGAGAGTCTTGGACAATAAGGGATGGGAGCAGAGAGGAAGAGTGAGAGGGGAGGCTTTAAAAGATTTTGTTAAAACATGAAAATCAACCAATCAAATTTCTTTAGCCTCATCCAAATATCTGATTCATCTTCATAATATTCTTGCGTTCTTTCCTGACAGTTAACTTTGCCCGTATGGTTCCCAATGGTCTGCTAGTCTTCTTTCCATCCTACCCTGTCATGAATCATGCTATAGAGATCTGGCAGGTGAGTCAATAGATATTATTCCATCAAGCATTTTATCTTCCTTGCTTCTCTTCACCCAGGTGTTGGATAGGTTGGATCAGCACTGCACACTTGTATATTGGTCTGTCCAGAAAGTTGGGCCGATTTTTGTGACATGCCAGAAGTGAGAAACTATGTCTCCTATCAACTGTAACAATGTTTGCTCAAATTTAGTTTGAATAAAAAGCATAGCCAACTATCTTCAGAAGTACTCAAGCACCATGGTGAATCAATATTATGGACCCAAACTTAATGTAATGTTATATGAATATGGTGTCCATGTAATGCTGGTAACAAGAGAAATGTGTAGTAAGCAAAGATTTTGAAGAAAAGCAACTGAAACAGGAACGATTCTGGCAGGGCATTACTATATGTATATTGCATAAAATTCTTCAACAGATAATTTCATCTTCCATGTTCATTAAAAGGAAGTTTTAATATTAATATAAAATTCCATCCTTATCCATTTTAACCATCTTTTTTTCTTTTCTTTTTGCAAATATCTATTGTTCATATTCTTTTCCCTCTCTTTCAGGAATCTGATGTACTGTAAGCAACAGAATCACTCAATACTCAATTGATTCAAATTCAATACACTTCTCTATTATGACCATTTACTTTTGTTGTTACAATTATTAATTTTGCCATATTTATTGTTCCTAATTTGTTCTCACTCTCTCTCTCTCTCTCTCTCTCTCTCTCCTCTCTCTTTTCTCTTTTCTTCTCTTTTCTATCTCTCTCTCTCTCTCTCTCCTCTTTGTATATCTTTCATCCTCTCTCTCTCTCTCTCTTTCTCTGTCATCTCTCTCTCTCTCTCTCTCCCTCTTTTTATCTCTTTCATCCTCTCTCTCTCTTCTCTCTCTCTCTCTGTCTCTCTCTACTCTCAGGAATCTGGTGTAAGCAACAGAATCACTCAATACAAAGAAATGTTCATCGAACCCAGGGGAAAGAGAGACTTTAAAGAGGTAGGAAGAAATATTTGATTTCCCTATCTTTTTTCTAGATTGGTGATCGATGGAATTAATTGAATCCAAGTTGGGTGTGAATGTTTACAAGATAGTAGATATGGCCTGGTCCTGATTCGTTTTATGTCTGTTATTGACCGTCATGTTAGAAAGGTCAAGTCATTTCACGCACTTCTAACAGAGGCTATATCTTATTAAACAGCTAAACATTTTGCAGTAAATATAATTGTTTATCTGTTGGTATTTTGATGGGTTATCTTTTTTTCTCCAAATTCCCTGTTAATCAATATTTTGTGTAAATTTTTGTTCTAAATTTCTTTACTCTTTATGTTGCAGGCCATGGAGTCGTTCTACGAGCGAGTCCGAGACCCCACCCTCAATGGTGCAGCTTTCTTTGCCGTCTGCAGAGGAAAGGTACGTTCCATGTTAAAGGGAGTGTAGCATGGCAAGTACTGGTTAACGCCATCTACGTCATCTTTTGGACAACTACACTAAACGAATGGACTAGATTAACTGGGTCAGCGCGCTAGCGTTCGCGAAACAGACCAAAGTTCACCTACACTTCCGTTTAACATGTATGTTGCACGCACATGAATGCTGCAGTCGCGCCCTCCATAGTCGTATTATACCCGATTGGCCCCGAGTAGGGCCACGGGAAAGACACAGTCTCGTCATGAAACACTCCCTTTAATGTAAAAGATTGAAACCTGTCTGTAAAGGCCACCTTAGTGAAGCAGTAAAAGTGGTCACTGTAGCCAGTTGGTCTTTCTAGTTAAACTTCCTTGGTTGTCTAAATGACTGGTCTATTAAAATAACCCATCTTCTCCATGACATGCAATACAGAATGACCTCAAGCCAGTATGTCCATGATAAACAAAAGTTTTTATAGCACCCTTGAATATAAAGTTGTTTCTGGTCATGCAATGGCAATGTGAAAGCAGTTGTATGGAAGCCATTAAAAAGGTTGATCATGTAGCATACGTATTGTATAGTCACACGCACAGTACACACATATGTGTATATGGAACTAAAACAGTTAGCATGAAAGTTGTGGTCTACAACCTTTTGCTGTTTTTTAGTTCAAATATGAGGGCATTTGAAGTTCTACCTTTTTCGGTGGAAATTATTTTTATGCCTCCGTTACGAAGTAGCCGGAGGCATTATGTTTTCGGGTTGTCCGTCCGTCCGTACGTCTGTACGTACGTCTGTACGTACGTACGTACGTCCCGCTCTCGTGATCGCGTTATCTCAAGAACCGACTGATGGATTCCTACCAAACTTTGGTCATGTATGTAACTTGCAGAGCCAATGAACTGATTAGATTTTGGGGTCACGAGGTCAAAGGTCAAAGGTCACAGGGCTCATTATGTATGCAAAAATAGCTTGTGATCGCATTATGTCAAGAACCGACTGATGGATTCCTACCAAACTTTGGTCATGTATGTAACTTGCAGAGTCAATGAACTGATTAGATTTTGGGGTCACGAGGTCAAAGGTCACAGGGCTCATTATGTATGCAAAAATAGCTTGTGATCGCGTTATCTCAAGAACTGACTGATGGATTCCTACCAAACTTTGGTCATGTATGTAACTTGCAGATGCCTATGAACTGATTAGATTTTGGGGTCACGAGGTCAAAGGTCACAGGGCTCATTATGTATGCAAAAAAAGCTTGTGATCATGTTATCTCAAGAACTGACTGATGGATTCCTACCAAACTTTGGTCATGTATGTAACTTGCAGAGCCAATGAACCGATTACATTTTGGGGTCACGAGGTCAAAGGTCACAGGGCTCAATATGCAAAAATAGCTTGTGATCGCGTTATCTCAAGAAAACCGATTGATGGATTCCTGCCAAACTTAGGTTATGTATGTATCTTGTAGAGCCAATGAATTGATTAGATTTTGGGGTCAAGGTCAAAGGTCATGGGCCTCATTATGTATGCAAAAATAGCTTGTGATTGCATTATCATTAGAACCGATGGATGGATTACCATCAAACTCAAGACATGCATATATATGTATTTTGCATTTGAGGTCATGAGTTCAAAGATCAAAGGGTCATACATGTATATGGGAAATAGCTTGTATAATCACGATATTCTGAGAACCTGTTATGGATTACAACCGAACTTGAATGTGAAATATTTCTTCCGTTTTGGTTTGTAAAATTGCTCTATGACGGAGGCATCACTTTCGACTGCGCGCAGTCGAAGTTCCATCTAGTCTATTATACTCCTTCACATTTTACATCAAAAGCATGAAACATCTCACAAATTATTTGTCAACAGGTTTCTGAAGGTCTGGACTTTGCTGATAACAACGGTCGAGCGGTGGTCATCACCGGTCTACCATTCCCACCCAGGAAGGACCCTAGGGTCATGCTGAAGATGCAGTATCTGGATGAAGCCAAGCGAAGAAACCCTCAGGTACATGCCTTCCCTGTATTTTTTTATTACATTCCCCCCCCCCCCCCCCCCCCCCCCCCCGTAAGTTTGAAAATATTCTGTCTTTTTATTTGTTTTGACAACTTCTCCTCTGTGTTAAAATGTAAATTTCATTGCTTTGTTTGTTAGTGATAAAAGAAATTGTTTTCATCTTGCTTCATCATTTTGTCTGACAAACAAACGTAGTCACATCACTTGTTTTATAATAATAGATTTAAGAGAAAATTAAAGAAAATTTTAGTCTATGTGTATAATGTTTCTTTCCGAAATTCGTTTAGGGTTGACTGGCCGTTCTCTTTTTTATAGATTGTTCTATGTCTTATTACATCTTTTAATCTTTTAATGATTTTTCCTTTTGTTTGTTATTGTTTTGTTTTGCATATTTATGTATTCAACTGAATGGCTAAATATACTCTCCTCTTGCTTTCAAGCAATTTCAACTTTTTGGTCATAAGGGGAATAGCTTGCCAAGACCGCCTTGGTCTTTTGTGGTACCCTTAAGTCTATGTATAATGATTTGCATCAGTGCTTTATTTCTGATTTATATGTGTATATGCTGTTATTGGACTTTATTAAAAATTGAGCTTGAACTTGATATTTTTAAATTAGATCCAACTCTGATTGACCTTGACCAACTGACATCAAACGTCCTATAGCACCCTTGTATATAAAGTTTCTTTTGGTCATGCAATGGCATTTTGAAAGCAATTGTATGGAAGCCATTAAAAAGGTTGATCATGTTTGAAAACACTTTCTCCCATTTCTTTGGCAGGGTCTGAGTGGTCAGATGTGGTACAGGCAGCAGGCCTCGAGAGCGGTCAACCAGGCTATCGGTAGGGTCATCAGACACCGGCAGGACTTTGGAGCCATTCTCCTTTGCGATACAAGGTGCGTACTGCACCAACTTCACAACTTAAGAGTACAGTCATAAATCTAAAGTGAATTCAAACCGAATCTCTGTGTATAAGAGTTAGTATGGTCTTTTTGAATATCTGCTGTTATCTTTTTCATCAGGTTCACCAACTCCGAAGCCAGAGCCCAGCTGCCTTCCTGGGTCAGGCCACATCTCACTGTCTACGACAAGTTTGGACAAGGTGTCAGAGATCTCATGAACTTCTTCAAAGTTTGTGAAAAAGTGGTAGGTAACAGAGGTTTTTTTTCTTCCCCAATAGAATATTTAAATAATATTGGATGGCTTTGAGTGTGATACAAGAGTATATTGCTCGAGCTATGACAATATTGGTCGAGTGAAAAACGAGTCTAATATTGTCTTAGCGAGAGCAATATATTCTTGTATCACACAAAAACAAAGCCATACAATATTATTATTATTATCTATATTAGTCTGACTAGTGAAATAACAAAATTTGAGTTACCTTGGTAAATATGGCTTTATTTTCGTGTGATATCGATATCGATAGTTGAAGTTCCTGGATGACTGAGCAATACGAAAACAATATTGGTCAGTCATCCAAGTACAGCGCTAAAGATATTGAATACACTGATTTATTGTACCACTTGGAAGCCTTATATATATGTATATAATAATTTCATTTATTGACAAAAAAGGTACATGCTTTTTCAAAACTATCAATGTGCAGATTATTAGTTACATACACCTGTACATACATGTAGCAGGTAGTTTTCTAAAATCTTCAGTTTTGTTTAATTCTTTATGGAGGTTGCAATAACTATGATAGGAAACAAAGTACTGGGACAGGCACAATTTACAAAGTTATAACAAGAATTTTTCAATAAAAATATATTTGTATTGAGATTCTAGTGTACTTTGCTCTGTACCTTTCTGCATGAAAAACTTTAAGATGCCTAAACCGAAGCTGAAGTCTGACAGAGCTCAAGTTCCAATCGTAGCGAGCGCATCTTCATCATCTAACAGAATTGTTTTATAAATTTGTACATGTATTTGTAATGAGATTCTAGTGTACTTTGCTCTGTATATTTCTGCATGAAAAACTTTCAGATGCCTAAACCAAAGCTGAAGTCTGACAGACCTCCAATCGTAGCGAGTGCATCTTCATCATCTACATCTCTGGACCGGCCGTCACAGGTTGCCAGGGCAGCATCATCATCCTCCTCCTCCTCCTCCTTCAAGAACGTTTCCTACCAGACAGCCAAGCATGTGGATGCTCATGTACCAAGCTTGAAGAGGAATAGAGATGGAAGTAAGACATATATTTTGATTACATCTGGGGGGTGTTTCACAAATCTCCTAAGTTGAACTTATCTCTAAGTTGGACTTAACAATTATGGAAAGCCGTTGGCATCTATCAAAATATTTTGTAAAAGTTATTTTAAAAAGCATAAAATGTTGATTCAAATCATTAAAATTTTCTTATACCAACAGGGATTTCACGCTCTTGATGTGGAATTTATAAAAAGTCTTAAACACTTGAATTTTTGCTTTTATATATATTTTATTTTAAGGCTACAAATGGCTCTCAATAATATTTAAGTCAAACTTAGAGTTAAGTTTGACTTAGGATCTTTGTGAAACACCCCCCCCCCCCCAGTTATGTTTAACTAAAGCCTAGATCTACTGATCTACAGATGACTATTTGGATTGCAGGAAACTGCACACACAATTTTTTTTGAAGAAGGGATGGAATTGCTTGAATATTAAAAATGTAATGATGACATCATCACAAAATAGTTCCTAAAACAATAGATATGCGCAAATTTATGATATCGCTATACAGTATGCAGTTTACAGTATGTAAGACATTGATCTACATTTGCCACAACTCAACCCAGGTGATGTAAATGGGTACCTGGCAGGAATTAATTCCTTGAAATCCTGGAGCGCTGTAATGGCAGCTAGGCTAAAGCCGGGGTAATAATAAATGCGCCTCGGCATAGAATTTCTAGATAGACGGCGCTATAGAAATACCTATTATCATTATTATTATTATTATTATTATTTAGGCCATGTGTCAGAAGCTCAGCTGAAGATCATGTACGAGGAGGCGAGACCTTCACCCTCATCATCATCCAGCGGGTTTACTCTCCTCGATGCTCTACATAATGCTGAGGTACACCAAGATGACAATGTTTTTGTCTCTTTAGACATACATGTACAGTCAAACCTGCTTTAGTGACCACTTGTATAGAAAGACCATATTTTTTTTATTTCCCTTGAAAAAGATTTCTCATTGAAATATGAACTAAAGGAACCTGTACATAAAGACCATCCGCCTATAAAGATCACTTTTTTGTAGGTGGTCTTTATAGACAGGTTTCACTGTACTTTGTAATGCTATTAGTTTTGATGTACTCCTCGTTATAGGTCTTTGTAAATGTTTGTTCATTTGTTTTTTTCAAGGGAAGTCTTACCTGCTGTTAGTTGGTTTTGATTACAGAGATAGTGAGAGAAACGGATCAGGGCAATTTTGTGCATTGTTTCCTGTGTAACATGTGTCTTTTTCCCCATTTATTTCATTAAAAAATCAAAAATATCTTGATTTAACCATTCATTAATTAAATTAGTTACACTAAAAAGATCCATTAACCAAGGATCATAACAAAATGTTTTTTTTTATTTTGGATGAAATACATTAATAAATTCATATGGCCCATGAAAGTCTGAGGGAGGATAAGAAAGTTAATGATTTCATAAAGTTGTAATTGATTCAGTGCAAAATTGGCAACTTTATGATTTGCCTTGTTATAACATGAAAACATAAAAACTTAAGATAATACATGTACATGTACTAGTACTGGTTTTAGATGTCACACAGGTTAGTCTACATGAAAATAGTCAGAATAATAATTGAGGTCTTTATGTAACAGTAATCAAGTAAACTAATGCATGTGCGGTGCAAAGTTGTGATTGTAAGCTTAATGTAAATTTGAACAGTTTTTAAGTTTAACAAAAGAATATTGAAGATGCAGTCACATTCATCTTGTCTTGTTTCTTTTTTTGTTACTTTTTCTCCCTACCAGAAACCCAAATCGGATGACTTTGCAATTCCTACAAGTATAGTAAGTATACATGTTCATGTATACATGTTCATATAATACATTTTCTCATACAGGTTATATTTGTACAATAAATATGTATGGTTATTGTACTAGTATATTGTGCTTGAAAGTCTTTCAAGTTAATTAGTAGGAACTTTTAGAACTATGTGAAATACACCAACCTTTAAAGTGAGCAGGGCTCTCGATGAACCGTCAGCTAGTCAACGAACATTGTAGATGAATACCTCGGTTGCTTAATTCAGATTTTATTGTTTGATGAAAATGGATTTCTTAAAATCTGTATGAAATAACAATATTTTGTTGTTCAATATCTCATCGGCAGCGGTATTTTGAGCCCAGAATGCAGTTATTGATAAGATTGTAAGCTATATTTTTGTTTGTTTGTTTGTTTTTAATCAGCCTTTATCAAATCAGGACAATGCTATGAATAAGCGACAAGATGATCCCAAGAAAAAGAAGAAAATCATCATTGTAAGTATTAAATGAAGATCGGTTGAATAAGGTAAATCTAGGAAGAAATTTTAGCAATAGTCACAAGGTCAAATATGTTGATTTGTTTAATTTCCTGATATTTTGGAACATACAGTGTACATGTATGTACTAGCATAGAGTTGGGAAGCGTGTCCGAGTTACTTGAACTAGACTTATCTGCAACATTCATACCACTTTCATGCATCTTCTTGTAGTTGTCTTTGTTGAAAGTACCTAGAGTTAACAATTAAATTATTCATACCCTTACCAAGTTTTGTAACTTTTTAATCAAGGCAAAAATTGATTTTTCCCCATTGATGTTTCTTGAGAATGCCAAGTATTAAATCTTACATATAAAACTATTCCTCAAATGCCCCAATTCAATCCAACTTTCATTCTTGAGTTACGAAAAACACAAAAAACATTGAATTTATAAGGGGTATTAATAATTTAGTTGCTAACTGCATGTACATTTGATACATTGTAACTAAAGTCTGATTACATGTTATTTTTAATTTGTGTATGATATTGTTCCCATCCATTGCTTGTTTGTTTGATCTTATGTTTGACCTTATGTTTGATCTCATTTTTATGTTTATTATTATATATGCATGATTTATTGAATAAAAACAGGTTTATATTTTTGTGTGTTTATTATTGTTTTGTTATTAAGTTTTGGTTGGTAATTTTAAGTCAGACAGTGGTGCACTTAGAAAGTAGAAACACCCGTATTAAGCGCCTAATAAATGTTATGTATTATTATTATTATTATTATTATTATTATCCACATGCATATGATCAGAAACAAAGTATGTTTGGAGGCCAGTCATCATCTTCCATCACCAAGAGGCAACGGAATGCTTGTCTTGTATCAGCCAAGGATTATGTAACGGAGGTATGACATTCTTCTCTACCTTCTCCTTGTTTCTCTCTTTCCATCTCTTTATACATCTGTCTATAGTTTGATCCTTGCCTGTTCTTTGCAACATCTCTCTCAGTCTACATGTATTTATGTATATCAATTCATCTCCCCCCCCCCCCCACCCTGTATTGTTTTCTTGTTCTCTTTCTCTTTTATCTTTCAATCACTTTCAAGAATGAACGTTGTGGCATAGTGACTCGAGAAGAAGAAGATCACTTTCAACCCCCTCCTTTCCTCCACTTATATAAATATCCATGTAAATGTACATGAAAATATTTTCCTACCTATTTCTCATTGTTTTGCTTTCCAGTTTCCTTCTATAATTCCTTCACCTGACTTCTCTTTCATTTTCCATTTATATTTGTGGTGTGCATTGTCATGAAGGTTGCCATTGGTAGAAAAATGATAATGGCTTCTGTATACTGCAGCAGAGATGCCAACCAGTACGATATTATCATTTTTAGTACGATATTAAGAGTGAAATATGATAATTCGATATCACCTCTTAAAATACAATTTTTCATTTTTCATTTTTTTTTTAAATCCATAAAAACCCATAAAAATCATGGACTTGCATAGAAACATGTACAAGTAAACACCTGCAACCCCAACAAAAACTTTGCTTTACAATTTTCTCATTAAATTCTAATGAAAGAGCAAACAGTTTACTTGGTGTCACGATACAAAACGACTTGAAGTGGGAAGCCCATGTCAGAGATATTGAAAAAAGAGCGAATGCGAAACTATATATGTTCCGTTCTTTGGGGAAGTTCGGTCTTTCACATGAAGATCTGATTACTATTTTTATTGGCTATATTCGCCCAATCCTTGAATATGCTACTCAAGTTTGGAGCGGAGGTCTCACTAGTGCACAAAAACAACGCATAGAAAGATTACAAAAACGTGCATTGAGGATTATCTTTGGAAAGGATTATCATAGTTACGCAAACGCTCTTACTAAATCGAAAATACAAACATTGGAAAGTCGTCGAAATGACTTATGTGTTACCTTCTTTAAAAAAAACTCTTTCATGCACAGACCAGTTCAAACAATTTATACCCCAAAGAGCACACAATAGAACTTTGCGAAGAACTAACAAGATCCCTGAACCCAGGTGCAAAACTAAACGTATGCAGAATACCCCAATCCCAGATTTGATCCTTTTGTATAACAAAAGTTTTTTATGATTGTATTTAATATACTCTGAAAGAAATTACAATTTCATATTCCTTAGTATATAATTAATTCATAAATTTGAGGTCTGATTTTTTTTACCAAGTTAGTCAATGAATTTTTTATGACATGAAGAATGCGATGCATATATATATATCTATATTTATATTTTAATATCTCTAATGTTCACCTTATAATATTCATATTTGTCTTGCAATGTATCTTTGTATTCTATCAACATGTACATAACTGTTTTCCCTCTCTGTCCATCTGTCCCCTTTCTCCCCCCTCTCTCTCTCTCTTTCTCATTCTCTTTCTCTCTCTCTTTCTCTCTTTTTTTCTCTCTCTCCTGCTTTCCCATCTCTCTTTCTTTTTAACTCAAATTTTTAAATTGAAATATTGTATAAGATTAATGGTATATAGTATATACACGCTCTTCATAATTATGTAGATTGTAGTGTGCATTTTAAAATGTATACTTGCTTTTTTCCAGCAATTTACTCATGTGCAATTCAGTTACTTTTTACTGTGATATCACTTGAAATGTATAATTGTCTTCACCATCAATGTTTTATTCATGCACAATTCAGTTACTTGTAACTGCGATACATGGAAATGAATCAATAAATACCATTTATCTATCTATCTATCTATCTATCTAACAGTAAAACATTTCTATGAAGATTTACTGGCCCAGGGCCAACGGGCCAGTGAAAGTGTCAAGTTTTCGTGAAAATCTTATTTTTGCTGCAGCCGTTCTCATGCATAGGACAGTTGTGCTGCAGAAAGTGATGCATGTTATGGTACATTTAAACCTGTCTATAAAGGCCACCTAAGGGAAACAGGAAAACTGGCCACTATGGACGGGTGGTCTGTCTAAACAGGTCCTGCAACACATCATTCTCCCCAGAGGGAGACAATAAAGGTGACCACTATTATAGACAAGTGGTCGCTAAGGCATGTTTAACTGTATACTAAAAGATTTATTAATTTTTTATTTTTTTTTTCGCAGGTGAAGAAGAGGCTGAGTAAAGAAAACTACAAGGCGTTCTCTAATGTCATGCAATCATACAAAAAGGTAAGAACACATTAAAAGTGGAGATGATAATAATAATAATAATAATAATAATCTTTTAATGGTCCACTCCAAATTTTATTTTTATTAAATTAATCCAAAAATGGAAATTCTTTTTGCCCAATTGATCGTGAGCCCGGCAGCCACTGAGCAGCGCCAGATCGACGTTGCTCTATCCCTTTATTGTTGAGCGCCAAACAAGGTAGCAGCAACTCCTGTCTTTTAACGTCTTTTGGTATGACGCGGCCGGGGTTCGAACCCACGACCAGTAGTATTAAAGTTGTGTGTAATGAAATGTGTTAATGGAATTATTTCTGCAATATTTGATACATTTGTACATTCTCATGTGTCAGTTTTCGATACAATCATACATACATTGAAACGTACTTCCTTGTGTCCAATCACTTTCTGTATAAAACGAATAATAGAAATAGTGAATTTTTCAGTTGCCCCGTAGGCAAGAATGGCAAACTTTTAAGTTTGCTCTGTAAGGCTCTTCACTGTCAACAGCATCTGGGCAACTGCTAATTTTTGAGCTCTGGGTATACATTGTTATAAATGGAGTATGAAAGGCTTTGACCAATGTGACCTTTCCTAATCCTTTTGCATACTCTTTAAGGACAAGTCCACTCAAAAAATAACTTACTTTCAATAATAGCAAAAAAATCAGACAAAGCAGAAAAATCAAAAAAAGTTTGAGCAAAATCGGATAACTTAAAAGAAAGTTATGAATTTTTATGAGAATCGCAACACAAATTTCCAAGATGGTTATCAGTTTGTGACGTCATGTCCTCACTATTTATCAATTGCTCTGTATGGTTTAATCCCAATAATTTCCCATTTTATTCCCCAAAAACTTGATTACCCCATGCGTTTGCCTAGGTTATATGATTTATATCATATTGCGTTTAGACATTTCACAAAATCTTTTATGAACTTTGAAGAATTTATACTATTTTGTGAATATTGTATATTCATAATTATTGATTTTTATATAAATAGTTTATCAAGATTCACATTTTTCATGATTTAACTGGGAAAAAATACTCTATATTAGTGCATCCACACAAAAACATATTGCTATTAATCTAACTTGGATGCTGGTGTGAAGAAATAAGATTCTTAAGGAGAAAATAGGAAATTTATATCATCAATATAAAATAATTAGTGGATAGTGAGGACATGACGTAACAGACTCATGAGTGAGTTGCCAATTTGTCTAGTGATTTTCAAAGTTTTTAATGTCATTAAAAATTCATAACTTTCTTATTCGCTATCCGATTTTGCTTGGACTTTTTATGATTGGTTAGTCTGATTTTTCTGCTTCTATTGAAAGTAAGTTATTTTTGGAGTGGACTTGGGCTTTAAAGTAGTCACCCAAGAAAATTCATGACAACTGATAATTATGGACAAGTTATATATGGTTGGAAAGATAGAAAAATCAAATAGATATCACGGAAAGGCGTAAAATGCAATTTTGTGGCTAGCTGTGTCTCGCATGTGACGTCACGAATCTTGACGCTCTACGGAGGACCGCTGAAGGCAGAAAATCTGGATTTCCAAATTAACATTTTTGAGAGATGATTACTGCGGGCCCCAAACATGTTTTGAAGAGGGAAGTTGTTAAATTTGATCAGTAAGGCTTCCCCTTCGCAATGATATGAATTTTTCATCAATTCAAAACATTTTTTCTTCTTCGGGTAACTACTTCAATATGACTTATCCTTTGTTTATCGTGTGATCCAGGACAATGACTTTGGTCTGATGATAGCTGGTCTAGCTGATCTCTTCACAGAAGACCCTACTCAATATCATCTCTTCAGGAGTAAGTATGATCTTTGCAGGTGCACAGTAGAAAGGTGTTGACACAAATTTCTCTTAAAGCCTGATTGCACTAGTTTGGCCGGGAGGATTAGACCTCCCTGCAAGGTCACTGGTGGTTATCTCATCAAATCAGCTCTCAATTAACATAAGAAAAAGGGGATCATGGGGGACCAACAGGCACCAATTAGGCATGGTTTGCTATATAGAGGGCGCAAGTAGCTATAAGTAGTACAGTGAGGCTTTAAAGGCATCATTTAACAATGTCAAATCTGAGATGCATGGCCCTACGTGGTATCAGTGTCTGTGATATGGTGTAATATTGAAGCCCTAAACAAAAATTGTGCTTCAAAATTATCATGAAGTGCCTCAAAAAAGTAAAAATCGTTGAGTGACAGGTTTTACCATACTCATTTTCCCCAATAGACTGTATAATGAAATTTTGATTTCCAATCATAAAAATCTTGATAATCAGGCGATTGGCTGGTAAAAGTCATGGGGTTCCTGACTGACCTAAAGGTTTAAACTGTCATTGCAGCATGAGCTAAATCCAAGATTTTGTTTCACCTACTGTTTTATTTTGCATAGTTTTGATTCTTAAATGATAATATAATGATGGTGGCTTCTTATATAGTGCACAAAAATGTCATGCCATGATGCTCCTTGCGCTCTCTTTCTCTCTCTTTTCTACCATTCTAGTACACTCTTGCAGCGTCATACAACGTATACAATTCATACATCCTCATTATCTCTCTCTTTCTGTCTCTCAGAATTCTATAGTTTTGTACGCCCCTGCCACAAGAAGCGATTTGATGAGCTGTGTAAGGAGATAACAGGAGAAGGATGCGGATACAGACCAGAGGACAGCATCGAGAAGAAGAAGACGGATGACTCTGAAGAGAAGGCACAAAAACCACAAGGTATGTGCTGTATTTATCACCTTGATCATTCCATGATATTCTCCCTTCTTACAACTTTTCGTTACCTCGCATCAGCTCTTTTTTCCCATTCCCTCTATATCCTTCCCATTTACTGTCTTATTATTACTTATTATTACTGTATTAGTTGTTCATATGTATTTTTATTCCTTGTAAAAAAATCCTGTGTAACATTTCCATTTATTTAAACCTTTCATTACCTGGCATCAGCTCACTTTCCTTTTCTCTCTATATCCTTCCCCTTCTTCCGACTCATTCCCTTCTCCCCCGACCTCGATTTACTGTCCTTCTTCCTCTATTACTCTCTTTCCTGTTTTACTGTTTGTTAGTACTAATTATATGGGTAATTTTACTTTAATGTGTAAGATTTCAACGTCTATGAATATTAATCATTTATTATTACTGTTTTAGTTGTTCATAAATGTATTTTTATTCCTCGTAAAAAAATCTGTGTAACATTTCCATTTATTTACTTGAACGAATAAAATTGAATTGAATTGATTTGAAATATTGTAGGAGGAAGCTCTACTGATAAGTCTTAAATTGCTGAGTGATGACTGACAAAAGGTGGAGAGAATGGTGAATTTATAATCCTCAGAAACACAGAATAAACATTAAAGCCCCTCTAAAGTGTTGGGAGCCCCCAATTTGATGGCAAAATTTCACTTAAACTGTATCATAATGGGAAAGGGGATGTCATTTAAGACACATTTTTGCAAGGATTTTCAAAACAAAAGTGTTTGAAGTCAATTATTGATGAAAGAATGCAAAACTTAGGTTTTCCACAAACAACAGAAATCTCAAATTATGTATTCTTTTATCAATATTTGTCTTTGCAGAAGTGTGTCTTAAATGACATCCTCTTTCGCATTATGAATTTATGATACAATTTAAGTAACATTTTGCCATCAAATTTCGGGTGAAATCGGGGATCCCAACACTTTAAGAGGGGCTTTAAAGGGTTCCATCGCCAATTTTTTTTTGCTTTGTATGTCTGGGATTCCATGTCACTATACTAAATTTAAATAATGAGCTCCACATATCACTTATGCAAAGAGCTATTGGAAGCAAAAAAACACTTTATAATTTGTGAGTAGGATCGTCAAATGCACCACTCTGCACTCATTTAGAAGAGCGTACGTACAGAACTCTAGTGCATCATGGGTACTGTGCATGAGGTTTCATGTTATCCCTTATTTTCTTCATACGCTTTCACTGTTAACCTATAGAATGCTAGGTACATTTTTTTAAGGTTGATGTTGGAAATTTTAGCTTGAAACAAATACTGTAGGTGAATGGTACATTTTACCTAAAAAAAAAGAAGAGGACCAAAGGACTGTCTATACATAGAGACTTTAATACTATTACAATTGTAAATTCAAGTAGATCAGCCCATTTCTTCAAATTTTATTTCAGTGCAAAGTCACATATAACAACGGTAAATGGTTGTATCCTGTCATCAAACTGCACAGCTATTTCTTGGTTCCTTGATTTTGCTGCTTCTTCTTCTCATTTTTACAGAGGCCAAGAAGAACTTTGAGCAAAACACTGTGAGTGAAGCAGCGAAAAGGCACTGCTCCGGACTAGGTAGTGCCTCCAGCAGCGCAACCATCGGTCATCTGAACAGCACGTCCCATCTTAGTAAGGGTGTAGACCTTCTGAATCGTGGTGCCGACCACTTGAACAAGGGTTCCTTGCACCTCAATGAAGGTGCTTCATTATGGACCGAAGGCGCAGAGACTCTGGAGAAAGGTAGCTGACAAAGAGTTGATATTTCTTAGTCCCATCTTAGTAAGGGTGCCGACCTTCTTAATCGTGGTGCCGACCACTTGAACAAGGGTTCCTTGCACCTCAATAAAGGTGCTTCATTATGGACCGAGGGCGCAGAGACTCTGGAGAAAGGTAGCTGACAAAGAGTTGATATTTCTTAGTCCCATCTTAGTAAGGGTGTAGACCTTCTGAATCATGGTGCCGACCACTTGAACAAGGGTTCCTTGCACCACAATGAAGGTGCTTCATTATGGACTGAGGGTGCAGAGACTCTGGAGAAAGTTAGCTGACAAAGAGTTGATATTTCTTAGCCATGGTACCACCAACTTAAACAAGGGTTCCTTGCACCTCAATGAAGGTGCTTCATTATGGACTGAGGGCACAGAGATTCTGGAGAAAGGTAGCTGACAAAGAGTTGATGTTTCTTAGCCAAGGTACCACCAACTTGAAGAAGGGTGCCATGCATCTCCTTGATGGTACTTTGCGTTAGAGTTAGAGTGAAGGTGCAGAGATGATGAAAAGTTGTAACTGACAAACATTTGGTATTTCTTAGCCAAGGTAATACCAACTGTAGTAAGGGTGCCCAGCACAATAATAAAGGTTCTCTTCGAATAAAAGGTGCTTTTTTATGAGGTGCAGGTTCAGAGAAAACCAAAGAAAGGTAGCCGACAAAGAGATATATTTCTTAGCCAAGGGCAAGGTATTGCCAACATGACTAAGGGTGCCCTGCACCTTCTTAATGGTGCTTTGCTCTAGAGAGAAGGTACAGTACAGAGACTCTGGAGAAAGTTAGCTGACAAACTTTTCATACTGACCAGCTAAGGTACTGTCGTCTTGACTGAAGGTGCCTTTCACTATAAAGGAGGATCTGCTTTGAATGATGGTGCTTTATTTTGGACAGAAGGTGCAGAGACTTTAAAGAAAAGTCAGCTTACACACAGTTGATATTTCTTAGCTGAAGTACTGCCAACTTTAAGAAGGATTCTTGCTTCTCCCTCAAGGGACACTATTTTTTCAGTGAAGGCACGTTCCTTTGAAGTGAAGGTGCAAATACCCTGTATCAGAGTAGCTTACAAAGCATACAGCGTAGCCTAGGTACAATGAACTTTACTAATGGTGCCTTGTAGCTTGAAGAGAGAGAAAGAGAGAGAGAGAAAAAAAGAAAGAAAGAAAGAAAGAAAGAAAGAGAGAGAGAGAGAGAGAGAGAGAGGGAGGGGGAGGCAGAGAGAGAGAGAGAGAGAGGATGAAAGAGATAGAAAGAGGAAGAGACTCAGAGATAGAGATAGAGAGAATTTAGGTTCAGAGACTATTGTTTAGGGTAGCTGACAAACATATGCAGCTCAGCTAAAATACTACCAATATGATAATGGTTGCCCTATCCTATAATGGGTGGATTCACAATAAACATCGACCCAAGGGGAAATCTGAGACAGGCCAATTTTTCAACCAGTGCAGCACAGCAAAAACTCTAGCCCCTGATCGAAATACCAAATTTTATTGAATAACCAAACTGGAACGAACTGTGTAAAGTTTATTCAATGGGATTGATTGTGCTGATATCAGCGCACACTCTATTTTAAATTCGGATGTCAAAACCCCAAAATGTCAAAAATTCTGATTAAATCTCATCTCCAAGGGTATACAGCGCCACAGCTGATATTTTTGTCGATTTTTCCCATAATGCACCACGTAAAATTGACTTAACACTGGTGTCGCTAGATGGCGCTGTTGATTGTGAATCCATTGTATTAAGGGGCTTCAGCTTTAAACGAAGGTGCAAAGATACTGCACCACAGAAGCTGAATAGTATATTTGTAAAGTGCTTAGAGACATTGTATTAGGCTATATAAAAGCTAAATATTATTATTATTATGAATATTAATAAATGTTGACACGGTTCACCCTCTAGAATAGGGGTACCCTAAAGCCTTGAAACATACATGTAGCTTCAGTATAAAATGAATTCAGGGAAACCGTAGACTTTAACTACTGAAATGATTGTATTATATATTATATATCACAGCACCACTACTTTGAATACATTTTACTCTCTAACTTTAACAATAACACTGTGGTTACACTGCTCATAGTTCAATAAAGTGTCTGTTAATTCAAAAAATTGATATCCAAATTACAACCTTGAATTTCTTCATAAAAATATATGTCCTCATCTTTCAGTCAACAACTGCAATGTTATTTAAAATATTTCAAAGATAGCCGACGAGACCACTTGCCTTTTTGAAATAGAAGTTAGACAGTAGACATACTGTACCTCCATTTACGAATGTGCTTGCTTTAGATGTTATTGAAATCATGATGATGATTAACCAGCTATGACATGCCAGCTCCGTTGTTATAAATATCCATTATTGTAATTGACATTTTAGTTATTAAAAGTGAGCACCCGAAGAAAATTCACGACAACTGATAATTATGGACAAATTATATATGGATGGAAAGAATTTCTCTTGAAAATCATGAAGAATTTGCTGAAAAATCATATAGATATCTCGGAAAGGCGTAAAATGCAATTTTGTGGCTAGCTGTGTCTCGCATATGATGTCACAAATCTTGACGCTCTACGGAGGACTGCTGAAGGCAGAAAATCTGGATCTCAAAATTAACATTTTTTGAGAGATGATTACTGCAGGCCCCAAATATATTTTGAAGGGGGAAGTTGTTATATTTGATCAGTAAGGCTTCCCCTTTGCAATTATATGAATTTTGCATCAATCAAAACATTTTTGATTCTTGGGGTGACAACCGGTACTTTAAAGAATTGGGGTTTATGTAGGAGAGTGGTAATCTTCACTTACTTTCTGCCTTAATTTCACCCCTCAAAATATGATTTTGGGTTTTCAAGAAGGGAAAAATGATGTATTAAACTGTATGATAGTACTTATGAAGCAACAACTATTTTTTCTAAAGTTATATATTTCCTGTTTTTCATAAAAAGAAATATATAATAAAGACATATTATATTAAGGATGAACTGTACATTTATGTTATAAATGGAAAAAAAGAAATGGATTCACTTTAAGATGGCTTATGGAGAAGCATGATTTCAATGATGTATACAAATATTGTTTGGATATTGGTTGTATGAAATGAATATGTAAATTGTTGTGTTTATTATACAAATAAAAATTGCCCATTGGGTCAAAGATATGGAAAAGAAAAATATTTATCCATGCTAAAAGCATTGTGGTCAGGTAACTACAGGAGAATAACCGCTTACTTCATTACAACCAAAAATATTACGATGAAATAATGGAAATTGATAAACATTAACTGATATTTTACAATGTAAGATTGATAAATTTAGATATTTACTCTATAACAGAGAATTGGATTTAAACAAATATAGAATGTTTCAGCAAAAGGTGAAGATAATGCACAAATCTTGAAAATCTACTACACATAACTGTCTTATATTATAAGTGCAATGATCTTTTATGAAATGTTTGAATGCTTACATGTAGTAAGAAACATAGTCATATAATTATTTCTCTACAAAGTTGTACTAATGGATTATATTGTTTTATTGTATACCAGGGATAACATTTTGTATGAAGATTTAGTGATATATCAGAAATGTAATAACAAAACTATTTTTTTGCATAAAATGCTAACAGAAGATGATCTGGATTTTCTTCCATGGAAATTGTGAGGATAACAATTATATAGCTACAACCAAACTACATGTAGTATAATAGCTTAAGAAACATTATCTTTTGTATAGTATGAGCTGTAAACACAAATGAATGCCTGTTTGATTGTTCTGCACCTTTGTTAGACTTAGATTATTAATCATGAGATTTCATATCTAATATGTGAAATATATAATATACCTTTATTACGTGACAAACTGGAGATCTATCAATTTACAATGCATGTATCTACATTGCTCGATCCTCTCAATCCAAGTATAAAATTGGTACCCGGTATGATGCAAATGTCATTGGGAGTGGAGAATGTGTACTGTAATTGTAAATAAATCCATTCATTGACTGTGGTATTAATTCTGTATTACGTGCCTTGATCTGTTATGTTGTAAATGTTACGGGTAAAGCACTTTCTAAGAAATATTATTATTATTATTATCATTAATATTATTATCACTTTTATTATTATCTGTCTAATTTAACCCATTCATGTGTCTTCATGACATGTATGATAAATCAATGAAATACATTGCAAATAGAAACAGGAGTTTGTCCAATGTACGTAGGCCTATATTTACCATAAATAAACCTCACATGAATGTATATGGTTACATGTTGTGAGATTAACATTAACATCCTGCTCTACAATATTTCAAAGGCTAAACCAACAAAAAATTAAGTTGGGTTGCTTGGTTTAACTAATTAGTGGAATAAAAGTTGAATTATGGCTGCTGCATGAAGCTATGTGGGATCAGAAAATTGTAACCGAAATAGCCATTATTTTCCACAGAATAATGACACAAGTGCAACTTAGGAAAAAAGTGTTTGTCATGTGTATTTTCTTTTACATCATATGGACCTATATCAATAATACTGAATAATTAAAAAAAATGAACAAAAATGACTACTTCTTGTTTGTCATATTTTGGAGTGATATTTGCTCTGTGATCAAAGTTTGAGGAATCAAGATTGCACGAGAGAGAAGATGGATAATGAGAATGGCTACATAGCACAGGGAGGGGGAAATAAGATAGAGAAGGGAACATGGAGAGAGAGAGAGAGAGAGAGAGAGAGAGATGGACACAAACAAATGGGGAAGGAGAGAGAGAGAGGGGGAGATGAAAAGGGAGAGAGAGAGAGAGAGAGTGAGAGATTATAGGTACATATGCAGGCCTATATTCTACTACTCTATCTAAGCTATTGCATATGATTGCTAGCAATATTTAGCTATTACAACATATTGAGACAGAAAATATGAGTTCAATGAGCATGTAGTTGCATCAATCAACACAGTACAATACGGTTCATAATTATGGCAACAAAAATGTTTAATAGATATATATTTGTTAACTTATCTTTTTTTACAAAACAAGTAAACAATATTTATGCTGCCTCTGATTATAATTGTTGTTTAGATATCTAAAAGCAACGTTGCGTGTAACTTTGCAATTTGATTGATATATAATTAACAACTAAATTATTCATATACCGGTATCCCTATAATTAAGTTTTATATTTAAACAAATTCTGCCCCGATTTATGTTTCTTGCGAATGTGACACATTAAATCTTTCATCTAAAATTATATAACAAAGGCCGTAATTCAACAAGTCCACCATTCATTCTTGAGTTACGAAAAACATTTAAAAACACATCAAATTTACAAAAATATGAATAACTTAGTTTTTAGCTGGCGCGAGCGCGCGTACGTCGCGTGCACGTAATCTTGAGGTCAAGGTTCATATTTTTGTTAACTCATTCATTCGCACGTTGAATGATTTGAAAGTGGCATACAAATCTCCGGGAATTTTTCAAAATGCCATCATATAAGAGTAAGTTTGCTTTGTTTTGCTTTATTATCGACGTCATATATATATTGTAATGTAATAAATGTAATTTACATGTTTCATTTCGTTTCTGTTGCTTTAATCAATGTAGATCGCCCTTTATTCATTCGCTGAAGAGACTGCTACAGTCCCATGTGTGAAGAAAAATGTAACGTTCATTTTTGCATTGCAATGATTGTAGATCTATAGATGTGGTGCGTTGTAAGAAAGTTGAGTTGCAGTCGATTGCAAATATCAGTTGCAAATTTTGCAACTCGCAATCAATCGCAACTCTCATGCAACGCCCCATTTAATAGACTCTTATGAATAAGAGTAGACTTCTAAGACTAGGGAGGCCAATGCCCAAATCTAACTTTTTAATTACTAATTTGTTTATACTAAAACTAAGATTAAAAGAAAGCATTTACTTTCACTAAGAAAATCCACCCATCTGCCGACTCCATAGGTTCCATCAAATAGGAGATATCCAGCTGGTTTGTAGCCATTTCCTTCTACGCCTTTCCGTACGTAAGAGCCTTGAAACAATTATATTTCATGTCGCAAAGTTACGTTCATAATTAGACAGGCCCGAGGGACAAAGTTCATGATGAAGTTTAAAACTTCGCGCGAAAGTGCAATCACTCAACAGCGGCTAGCCTTGAATCGGTCGCACACGTACACACCTTCTTCTTCTTAGTTGATCCCTCCACCGACACAGGCAAGCCCCGATGCAGGCTGAAGTCCAGCCATCAATGTGCGAACGATTACATCTTCTACTACTACGAGCCGAAGACGATGGTTCAAAAAAGGAAAGAAATATATATAATTCATTGATATTTACCTTAGATGTGTATTCCAATAATTTGATTTCCTCATGAGTATTCCTTATTATCAACGATCGAGAAGTTACGAGGTCCAATTAAAATCCATCTTGCAGCGAACACAATCATAGCGCACATCCATGCATGCAACGTACGTGTACTAATATTTCTCTCACTCTCTCTCTCTCTCTCTCTCCCTTTCGCTATACGTAACATACACACTCACTAACCATGTATCATATACAACACACACCTTCAAATCATGGCTTTCATTTCAATTCTCAATTGGAGTATAGACTGCTCACGTAGACTTTTTTTTTTACTGAAATATCTTTTTTAACACTTCTCATACATTACTGCACGACACTCGTATCTAGTGCTGTGAGAATAAGGTACTAGGGTCTATAAATAAGACTACGCTTTGGGCACGCTCTGACCGGAGCTCAGATTATGTCGCAATACCCTTTATTTTTGGCGCGAACAATGACGTCACTGTTCACTGTTTTCCTTCTCATTTTGAGATGGATGTAGCTATAGGGCTCAAACCAACGCAAGATTGACAGAAACATCGTACTCTATCTACTTTCGAATGTTCAGTTTGTGAAAATCTGTATTTAAAAAGATATAATCTTTTTTCTTTATATTTTCTAGTTGTTAGAAGTGGCAATTGTGAACATCTGAAATGTTGATCTCTATCAAAAGTTCTTTACTCAAAACGGATCCCATATTTTTAGGGTCTACCTTCTGCCAATGAGAAGGTTTTTAGTGAGCAAACCTCTACGCCCTCTAGGATTTTCTTAGTCGGTGGTGCGAGTGCGTCAAGGTCGTCTGCAACCACAATTTTTGGATTAAAAAACGTCAAAATCTGCAAGATTGTCAACAAATGGTGAAAGACTGTTACAGATCCGTGATTATAGGTATGTTGTGAAATGTATAATTGTATTTTCTTTTCATATTTTCTTCAATTTTTATTTTTACATCATTTTTTTCCCTTTGCTAATTTTTTGAAGTGGGCGACGAGCGCACAAATCGTAGGTGTAGAAGCCTTACGCCCGGGCATTGGCCTCCCTACTAAGACAACAATAGGAACTTCGTAGAAGAAGAAGAAGAAGAAGAAGAAGAAGAAGAAGAAGAAAGAAAGAAGAAGACGAATAAAGAAGAAGAGGAGGAGGAGGAGGAGGAGGAAAAGAAAAAGAAAAAGTCAAAACAAGAACTTAATTAAAGTTAAATTGAGTTAAGAAGGAAGAGGAGGATAAACGAGAAGAAAACTCAAGAAGAATATAATTAGGAGGATGGTGGAGGAGAATTCTTCTTCTTCTTCTTCTGTGATACTCCTCAACGTTCCGTAAGGAACCAAGCAAGGAGGATGAGGGGGTGTGCACTGTGCTTGTTTAGTTCTTATTGCTTGAGTCTTGGTTGCGGAAAAAGTTGGTTGCTTGGAGTTTGAAGGTGTCAATGTTTGTGGTCCTTTGGATGTCGGAGGGTAGTGAGTTCCAGTCCTTGATGGTACGTGGAATGTAGGAGTGTTTAAAACAATTGGTGCGGGTGGAGTATTGGATGAAGGAGTTTTCTGAGGTACGTCTGGTGGCTCGTGTAGCTGGATGCAGGTAGTTCGACACCGGCAGGGCCAAGTGCCCCCCCAAGGCTTTGTGCAATATACAGACCCTCGAAACTTTCCTTCGAATAGAAAGCAAGTCCCATCCTAACCCCACCATTAGTTTTGTTGTGCTGGTAGTTTGCCTGTAGTCATTGCATACCATTCTGGCTGTGAGAAGAAGAAGAAGAAGAAGGGGGAAAAGAAGAAGGAGAAGAAGAAGAGGAGGAGGAGGAGGAGGAGGAGGAGGAGGAGGAGGAGGAGGAGGAGGAGGAGGAGGAGGAGGAGGAGGAGGAGGAGGAGGAGGAGGAGGAGGAGGAGGAGGAGGAGGAGGAGGAGGAGGAGGAGGAGGAGGAGGAGGAGGAGGAGGAGGAGGAGGAGGAGGAGGAGGAGGAGGAGGAGGAGGAGGAGAGGGGAGGGGAGGGGGGGAGGGGAGGGGGAGGGAGGGGAGGGAGGGGGAGGAGGAGGAGGAGAGGAAGAAGGAGGAGGAGGAGGTTATAGTCTTTGCCACGATTCATCAGATTTTATCTTGTCCTGAATTACCAAACAAAAATATGAGGCTTAATTTCTCTCAAACTGTTTTTTTAAGTAAAATCTTAGTGGTAGCATAAATGAAGCAAACATCCAATTTGCATGAAAACAAGACGTGTTACCAATGATTTGTAAGAAATTGATGAAACTCGAGGTTACTTTAGCAACGAGCGAATGGAAATTTGCAATTAGACTTCTAAGAGGATACCATAACTCATAACTAATCAAAAGAAGACCCTGATTTTACGTCAAGCTAAGAAAATAAGATATTTTATGACTCATAATTTTAAATTTATTGATCAAATGATTATGTGATATGACTTGTTTCAAGGTTATGCTAAAAACGGAAACTATCTAGAGAAATAGCTACACAAAAAATGTTGTCATTCTCATGAATCTGTAATTAAAGACTGCTCCATCTTTGGCTACTTTTCTATGGTAGACCAAGGTACATGTTATGGATAAATATTATTTATCTTATTTACTTGTTAAGGCATTAAAACTTTATAAGAACAGTTGTTAACTTGTATAATGCTTTTATATCAAAACCAATAAGAACTGATTAGTGAAATGAGAGCTTGAAGATCAAGAAATAAGTTTTAAAATAACTTTTTAGTTTTCAATTTGTCGCTGCCCATAGATTAACTTGAAGTTGCCTTGAGATGGCATTCTAAAAAATTATGATAGGTTTAGAGTCGCAACAAGTCTCTTGTCGCGGAAGTTGTCGCTCATCTTGGCAAAGACAGTTTTGTGAAACAATAGCTCAGACAAGCTGAGCGAAAGCGTCGAGATGTTGTTGATCTTGTAGTTATGACGGTTTCAAGAAACAACCCCATGATGGTTGGGAGAATCTGCCCCCAAGGTGTTCAAATAGTGTTAGTTGCATTTAGATGCATCGTTTTATGCAAGGATCCGGATCTTTTATATGTTCTACAAATAATTAGGTAGACTCCAGTTAGAGCCTTTAGAGAGGAGCAGTTTAATTTTAATGCAATTTAATTTATTTACTTTGTCCAGTCAACGTTAAGTGGGGGAAGGAGAAGTTCAGTGATATAACATGCAACACGGAGGAGACTCCCGAGGTTTTGAAGGCTCAGATGTTTGCCCTGTCAGGCGTGTACCCTCAGAGGCAGAAGATCATGCTCAAGGGGCAGGTGCTCAAGGATGACGAGTGGGGAAACTTCAAGCTCAAAGAGGTGAGTAGCTAGCCACTTGAGTCTTCATTTGCTGACCTTTGACATTTTGTGTAGCATACTGATACTGCAAAAGGTAGCAATGTAATAAAACAAAGGCTTGAAATGGTGAGATCAGTCTTCATGAAAGTGGAAAAGATATGTTGTAGGAAGAAAAACTTTGAGCTGAGATGCAGAATCTGTAAATGCTACATCTGGAGTACTCTATTGTATGGAGTCTTCATTTGTTGACCTTTTACATTTTACATACATACATACATGTACATACATATTGATATTTATATAGCGCCTTGACATGAACATGCTCAAAGCGCTTAACATTAGTAAATACAACGAAATAATTTGTTTGCTCTCCAATTATGTTGCATACTAATAAAAAAAAGAAGAATTCTCTCCTTTTTCTTTCTCATCTCTCATTCTGCGTTGGGCAATTTTCACTTATCTTTTATTTTGTTTAAAAAATCACTCTGAAAATCATTCATTCAAAATGTCCATCATATCAGTTCTCTTTGCATCCATCGGTGAACATTTACAGGGCACACAAGGGCACACATCAATTGTTGCCAGATCATTTGTTGTACAATCCTAAAAATATACTTTGTATCTCTGTGTTTGAATCTTAGGGTGTCACTCTCTTGATGATGGGGTCAGCGGAAACCTTGCCAGAAGCTCCTCAAGAAAAGACTGTCTTTGTGGAAGATATGACAGAAGAGGAACTTGCCACAGCTGTAAGTACAATCGCAGAGCTGCTAACCATTACGTTTTTCCTGGAATTATTCTTTTTTTTTTCCTCAAAATTACAGTAGTATGTTTTTTTCTTTTTAATTTTTTTTTTTTTCTTCAATTTTTTTTATAATTATTTTTTTAGCAATTACTGCACGTTAATCAAATGTGGATCACTACTCTAATAAAAAAAATTCAATAGAGATTCATGAAGCGTACAAATTTACAAATAGTAACCAAACAAACAAGGAAAAAAAGTGAAAGCTGCAAATATTCTCATAAAGAATGAAATGCTGATAATACCCACAAAAAAACAACATACTTGTAAATAAAGTAATTAAATATAGGTCCTAATATGGAAATAACAGTGTGAGGAATGGACATTTCTGCATTGGAAGTGTGTCGCGCGTGGTTGTAAGTTTCGTTTTAATGAATTCCTTTTTTTTGCCATCATGGTTCCTTTTTTTGTTTGCACAAGGTTGGCATAAATGGGGCATTATGTATCTCATTGATTTATCCTTCTGGATCTCACCAGACAGTAAGCAAGTAAGCTTGTGTGGGTTCCTTATGTATAATGTGGGACCCCAAAAATGTCACAAAGTGGGTCCCTAATTTATGGAATTACCCATATATAAGTGATACAATATGTGAACTTTTCATGAACTTTTGCTTTAATAAATGTTAAGACAGAGCAGCCATGTGGTCTTACCGAGTTTAAACAAGTGAAATATTGACACAAAAGCCTTTCTGGCTGAAACCTTATTTTTTTCTTCCTTACCTCATTTTCAGATGGAGCTGCCTTGTGGTCTAACCAACCTCGGTAATACATGCTACCTGAATGCTACTCTACAGTGCCTCCGAAGTGTACCGGACCTTCGAGAACAGCTCAGATCGTAAGAATGAAAAGCATGGAATTATAATAGGTTCTTATTCTATGACACCTGGGGATTGTTTCACAAAGATCTTAAGTCGAACTTAACTCTAAGTTGGACTTAAAAATTATGGAAAGCCACTAGCATCTATGAAAATATTTTGTAAAAGTTATTTTAAGAGGCATAAAATGTTGATTCAAATCATTCATATTTTCTATTGTCAAGGAGATTTCATGTTCTTGATGTGGAATTCATAAACAGTCTAAAATACTTCAATTTTCGCCTTTGAATATATTTTATTTTAAGTCTACAAACGGCTCTCCATAATTTTTAAGTCAAACTTAAGTTCAACTTCGAATCTTTGTGAAACACCCCATGGTCTGGTTGCAATTGCCCCTCTTTCAATATCCCACTCAATACTGCATCACACGCTACACTTATTCCCCTATCCCTAAACTTGACCTTCAATCCCATCTGCATCCCTGACCTTAAAGTTGCTCAAGCTTGGGTATATAGAGGGCTGCACTCCTCCTCCTTCTTCTCCTCCTTCTTCTCCTCCTCCTACTCCTTCTTCTTCTCCTTCTTCTTAATCTTCTTCTTAATCCCTCTCTTTGTCTCCTTAATCCCTCTCTTCGTCTCCTTAATCCCTCTAGGTATCAAGGTAACATGAACATGGCCATAGCTGCCAGTGCCCCTGCTGAATCCATGACCGTGGCCATCAAGGATCTTTACACCGTCATGGACAAGAAGTCTGAAGCTTTCCCTCCCATCATACTCCTCCAGCTCCTCCATCTTGCATTCCCACACTTTGCGGAGAAGAGTGAACATGGCGGATTCCAACAGCAGGTATTCATGCAAATTTAAAGTTTACCAATCACCAATTATATTTTTGCTCTGTACGTTTAGGATTATTATGCTGGTATCGTACATTTAAAAAAGTAGATTCAATATTATTTCAGGAAAGAGATAGCTTCCAAACAGTTTCCTTCATGATGTATTTGTATGATATGTACTCTGCATTGATCTACATTTTCCACACTCAACCCAGGTGATGTAAATGGGTACCTGGCAGGAATTAATTCTTTGATATGCTAGAGTGCTGTAATGGCAGCACAGCTAAAGCTGGGGTAATAATATCCAAGTTTCAAAGCGCTTAGTGATTGTTATAAGCGCTATATAAAAACTGAGTATTATTATTTATTATTATCTTTATCTCTATAATGTTACCTTTGGCCATTAACAGTCTGCATGAATTGAAAATGAGATCATATTTTTATTTCTCCCATTAAATTATGGGAATTATCACCTGAAAATGTAATCTCTATGGTATTATTATGCATGGTCTTTGCACATTATTGCAATAGGGAAACATTGCCTTTGACAAGCTCTCCAATTTGTCATAGGATGCCAACGAGTGCTGGATACAACTTGTACGACTTCTGCAGCAGAAATTGCCCGCTGTGAAACCGAGTGACAGTATACCTGCTGTTGAAGGAGCGCCCGCTGCTGCAGGAGCTGTGGCCAAGAGAACATTTGTAGATCAGTACTTCGGCTGCGAGTTTGAAAGCATGTATCCTTTCACAAATGCTCATCAAGTCAATTTAATTAGTTGAAGTGTTTATCATATCCCTGTGGACCAAAAGTATGTGTTGAATAAAGAATCACCTTGGTATACAATCAACAACAAAATTTACTTATTCAGTGAAACCTGTCTATAAACACCACAAGAAAAGTTGTCTTTATAGGCAGGTGGCCTTTGTAAATGATAGGTCTCTAAAGAAGGTTTGACTGTAGCTCAGATTCAAAACAAAATCCTGGATTTAGCTCATGCTGCAATCATAGTTATAAACCTTTAGGTCAGTCAGGAATCCAATGTCTTACAAGCCGATCGCCTGTCTGATTATCAAGATATTTATTTTATTTTTCGTTTTCCTAACGGTTTTTATTACACTGCAGTTTATTGGGGAAAATGAGTATGGTAAAACCGGTCACTCAAAGATTTTACATTTTTTCAGGCACTTCATGATCATTTTGAAGCGCAACTTATTTAGGGCTTCAATTTTAAATGCAACTCGATTTAACATTGTTAAACGATGCCTTTTACATTGTCTTTGAGTTTCTCTTCTTGACCACCAAGCTTCAGGTTAAAGTGCATAGAGTCGGAAGAAGAACCTCCTGTGAAGTCCAAAGAGACATTCTATCAGCTCAGCTGCTTTATCACACAAGAAGTCAAGTATCTTCATACAGGACTCAAAAACGTAAGTCAACTTTGGGGGTGTTTCACAAAGACTAAGATCGACTCTAAGTTGGAGTTATCGGTAACTATGGCAGCCATTCATGCCACTGGTTGCTCTCACCATTGGTCCCTCAATTATAATCTTTCAATATTATTTTTTCCTTCAGTAATGAATTATCATAAAATATAAATTCTGTAGATTTGTGACTATGATTTTTACGTCCCTTGAGAGTCAAATGCCAGTACTACGGTAAGAGCAAATAGTGCCATGAACGGATTGCCATAGTTAAGTTCAACTTAAAGTTGATCTTAGTCTTCGTGAAACACCCCCCAGGAGCTAAAGCAAATACTATTTGTTGCGCTTGTTCACAACTGTGACCATACTTTGGATCTGTAACTCCAGCGTGGAGATATCTTACTATAAGTTAACACTTTAAATCATATAAATCTTCTACAATTGTTCAAATAACGGTCATGATTTAAAAGTTGTTATCTTTCTTACTGTGAGTTTCGGGCACGCCCCTGCGTGAAGTAATTGGGAATGTACTCTCAGATCCTCATTAAATTCATCCAAGTAATTCACACTGTGAATTGATGATGATCATTACAGTCGCTAACTTCACGCAGGCCCGCGCTCGCCCGAAACCCACCCTCGGTATGCTCATGTATTGTGCAGCGGTTTGCCGTGAAACCTGTGAGAAAATGTGTACTACCGGGAATGTCTATGTTTTTAGGAAAAATAGTCCAAAAAATGGAGAAAACTGACACGAAATAGGTTAAAAAGATAACGGCTTTTAAATCATGACCCTTGTTTGAACAATTGTGGAAGATTTATATGATTTTTGGTGTGTTATAGTAAGGTATCTCCACGTTGGAGTTACGGGTCCAAAGTATGGTCAAAGTTGTGAACAAATGCCAATTTTTTATTGATCTTTCACTGTTGTTACTCAGCTACAATAATTTTTTAAAACAAAATTTATTCAGTGAGAGTTTTGTTCAAATTTAGTATTTGTCATCACTTAGAGGTATTACCTTTATTTATAATTAGCAGCTGGCCCAGTTTCTCTGTAATTTTTTGACACTAGTGCATTTGACAGAATAATTTGAATAAACAAATGTTGTTTAGAGTTCATATAAAGATAATGACTAAAGGAGGAATTTGAAATAATTTTGAGCCAGTTCGAATAGAAAAAGGGACTACATTAAAATTTGAATCAAATTTTATAAACATTGACTTGTGGAATCCGATATTAAGATGTTCTATCATGCACTGAGTATAGAAGAACAAATGATATGTTAAAACACCATCAAAGAATAATCCTTAATAAAGACATACTGAATTGCTCAGCTGTCAGAATTTACTCTGATGAATGCAAGATAAAGTTTGTGGGTCTTAAAGATAAACTTGAGTTCTGGTCATGCTATTGCATTGTGAAAGAAACAGTGTGGAATCGATTTGGTGTGTACTTTTTACGATGTTACACTGTACATGCCATACAGAATATTGAGGCATTTGAAGAGACATGCTTTTTCAGGGAACATTTTTTATCTGATGTTCTTCCACACTTGCATTTATAATACAATGATAATGCCCACAAATTATTTGTCAACTCTTCCCAGAACTCAACCTTCTCTTTAAATATTTATTCTTTCCAAACAGAGATTGCAAGAGTCTTTAGTGAAGAGCTCTCCCACACTCAACAGAGATGCACAATATCTCAAAGAGGTAAGTATTCTTAAAGCCCCACTGCACTTATAGCTACTTGCGCCCTCTATATAGCAAACATTGCCTAATCGGTGTCCATTGGTCACCTGTGTCTTATGCTAATTGAGACTTGAGAGCTGGTTTGATGAGATGACCACTTGTCAGTGACCATGCAGAGAGGATCTAATCCCTCCTGGCCAAACTAGTGCAGAGGGGCTTTAAACCATAGACCATTGTGACACTTGTTTTATTTTCATTTGTCTTTTGCTGTGATGTAAAATGAATCGTATCCCACTGTTTATGGGAGGTGTTTGACTCCCGTATTAGAGCCTTTACGAGAATTATTGAAAGGGAGATAAATACAAATATAAAACAATTACAAAATGTAGCATGTTTTCATACAGTATTAGAGACAGCGATTATGTTCTAATATACTTCCATTACATTGCTTTGCAAGTAGATGGACTTTTAGTGGCTGAATAGTTTATTTATTCAGAATATTCAATAGCAAGAGTTCAGATCATCATATTTTGAGTTACTGTGCAGTTAGTGATCAGGGACCCTTTCACAAAGCCTTTTGTCAATGACAAATTACAAAAATCAGTGACAAATCTGCTGATAACCAATCAGAAGCAAGGCTTTCACTAGCTTATAACATGAACTGTCATTTGTCACTGATGACAAGTTTTGTGAAATGGGGCTCAGATCAGTACAAACCACATAATCTGAACTTATCTTGATATGTCATTGGTTGATTTATGTTGGGAGCTTGTAAATTATGTTATTAGCACTACTTACCAAAAAGTAAGAAGAGTGTGTTGTTACCTCAGATTTAAAAGATTTTATTTTTATTCTTACTTTATCATATAGTCTAAAATCAGCAGACTACCTGGCTATCTAATAGTTCAGTTTGTCCGATTCTACTACAAAGAGAAAGAAGCCATCAGTGCTAAGATCTTAAAGGTAAGAACAGCCAAATTGGATCCAAACTCTCTTCAGTTTTGCTACTCCTTTATCATATACCTTTATTATTTCATGCTATTCACTCTTTCTTCCACCAACCATCCCTACTTCTTGTTTCTGTACTTTGCATCAGCTCTCTTTCCCTTCCTCTCTATTTATATCCTTCCCCTTCTTCTGACTCCTTCCCTTCTCTCCCCACTTCTTATTTCCTTCCTCTACCATCCTCCTTATCCTTTACTCTCTCTCTCTCTCTCTCTCTCTCTCTCTCTCTCTCTCTCTCTCTCTCTCTCATGCATATGCATTTGCTAATTACATGTACATATTTTTAAAACTCTGTGAATCTATGTAATATGGGTAAGAGATCTATGAAATAAATGAGGATTATGATGATGGTCATCATCAACATTATTACTGTTATGTGATTAATATTTTATTGTTCATTGTTTGCTGCAGGATATTAAATACCTGATGGCCCTTCATGGGTTTGAATCGTGTACACTAGAGCTCCAAGAGAAGCTCATCCATGCCAGGGATACATTCTTCTTCTTTTCCTCCTCCTCCTCCCCCTGCCCCTCCTCCTCCTCCTCCTTCACCTTCTATTAATGCTGTCATCATGTTTGTGTTGTTTACCACAGGATATTAAATACCCGATGACCCTAGATACGTATGAACTTTGTTCACCTGAGCTCCAAGAAAAGCTGGTCCCTGTCAGGGATAAATTCAAAGAAATGGAGGACAGGAACCTGGAGCTTGCACAAAAGGTACACATTCAAGGCATTTGGTAATTTAAAGGGATCCGGTAACTTTATCTCAGATTCTGAAACAAACTCCTGGATTTAGCTCATGCTACAATGATAAATATATTGAAGGTATGTCCATTTATATAGTGCAGCTACTACATGTATACAAATATGCTCTTCTACGCTTAATACACAGTATTATATCATTACCCTGGCTATAGCTGAGCTGTCATGATAGGTGCTAAAACAGTTCAGGAATTTATTTCTACTGGATACCGATTTACGTCACCTGGGTAGAGAGTGGCAAATATAGATTAATGCCTTGCCAAAGGATGATTGCCCTATAGTGGGACTTGAACCGCAGACTCTGGGATCCATGGTCCGATGATGTATCTACTAGACCTGGGGGGTGTTTCACAAAGATTCTAAGTAGAACTTAACTCTAAGTTGGACTTAAAAATTATGGACATCCATTGGAGTCTTAAAATGAAATATATTCAAAAGCAGAAATTCAAGTATTTTAGACTTTTTATAAATTCCACATCCAAACATGAAATCTTCTTGATGATAAAAAACATGAATGATTTGAATAAACAATTAATGCCTTTCAAAATAACTTTAACAAAATATTTTCAAAGATGCTAATGGCTTTCCATAGTTGTTAAGTCCAACTTAGAGATAAGTTCAACTTAAAATCTTTGTGAAACACTCCCCCCGGGGGGGGGGGGGGGGGGGGGGGGGGGGTTCACAAACCTTTTTTTCAATGACCAGAATCAGAGAAAAATTTGCTGATAACCAATCAGAAGCAAGGATTTCAGTAGCTTATAACCAAAACTGTCATTTGTCACTGATGACAAGTTTTGTGAAACGCCCCTCAGGACATCTCTGTACATGTTAACAACAAATACACAATCATACTACAAAGGCATTCTTCCTCATATGTATATTTTCCAGATTGTGTACCCATTTATTTTTAGAATGTGATTATGTTTTTAACTTCTAGGCAAAGGATGCGGCCAAGGGCGGAAACAAGAGTGCAGCAGTAACCACAGAACCCAAAAAGGATGTCAAGTACCTTCCATACGACTTCCCAGACGGTAAGCTGTCAAAACAAATTATTATTAAACGTTTTTGTATACCGTAGGACACATAGGCAGAGCGATGTCTCTATGTGCTTTACAGAAGGAGTGGAAACGGTGCAATGGCTTCATAATTGTGATATTTTACAAAGTGCTAAATAGATACCTTTTCAAATTCTTCTGAGCTTTTCATGTTTCTTTATTTCTGAGGTATTCCATAAAATAGTGGCTGCATATGAAAATGACCATTCCCCATAAGATTTTGACACAGTTTGTTCAGTTCTGGTAATTTGTCTTTGTAAGTTTGATTTCATATGACAGAAATGCAGATTTAAAGTATGGGTTTGTGTTTGATATGCCTCGATCCAGTCTGAATTTTGAATAAGAGGTAAATGAAATCTGTAATCACAGGAACTATGGTCTAAAGGCTTGCCCACCTCCATTAAAGGCATCGTTTAACAATGTTAAATCCCCCTACCTGTTATCAGTGTCTGTGATAGGGTGTAATAATGAAGCCCTGAAAAAAAATTGCGCTTCAAAATGATCATGAAGTGCCTCAAAAAAGTAAAAATCTTTGATTGACCGGTTTTACCATACCGGTACTCATTTTCACCTATAGACTGTAGTGTTATGAAAACCGTTAGGAAAACGCAAAATTTGATATTGATTTCCAATCATAACTATCTTGATAATCAGACAGGGGATCGGCTTGTAAAAGTCATGGTGTTCCTGACTGCCCTAAAGGTTTATAACTATCATTGCATCATGAGCTAAATCCAGGATTTTGTTTCAGAATCTGAAACAAAGCTACCCAATCCCTTTAACCTACACATGCTTATTAGACATTCGTGAGTCTTCCAGTGTGTTTGTATGGGGATAATTGCACGTCTTTAGCAACAGTTTTAGAATGACCACTGTGAGCTTTGTTGAAGGCACAACTACATCTTTAACCCCATGGAATAGTCTTACTATCTCACCTATAATTATTAAATATTAAATATAACCAGCAAACACTTTTGAATGAATATTGTGAGATTGTTTGAATAGAACTGCTACATTTGTCACCTCATGAAATAGTTTGATCATCTCTCTCATAATTTTCTATATTATCTACTCCTCCATGTAGATATTGGGTGTAATAACAGTGGCTACTATGAGCTCCAGGCTGTGCTGACCCATCAAGGAAGGTCAAGCTCATCAGGTCACTACGTAGCATGGGTCAAGAAAATAAGAGGTCAGTATTCAGATATTTATATCTATAGCTAGTAAAGCGAGAGATAGCTGTGCACACACAGAGGTCATGGGTTCACATAATTGACCTCCCACGGACAATCTCTGTGGGAGGGAAGCTATTTGGTGCTCAACGAATTAACATCTGAATGAGCGCAGTTTTGTGGAACAATGCCCTCTCAGGCTCTCCCGCCTTCGCTCTAGTCTTGTCTTGGTAGATGAATGGATCAAATTTGAACAACAAAGTTGCCTCTAAGGACACAATGGTTCTTATGCCTATATGATCAACCCTCGAGAACAGTATCTAACCCATTTTCTCCATTATGAAATTGAACTCTGCCACCTGGGGAGTGTTTCACAAAGACTAAGATCGACTTTAAGTTGGACTTGACTATGGCAGGCCGTTCATGCCACTAGTTCCTCTAATCTTTCCTGGCATTGATTTCTCAAAGGACGTACAAATCATGTTCGCAAATCTACAGAATTTACCCTTTTTCATTATTGAAAGAAAAAAATATCTAAAGATCATAATTGAGAGACCAATAGTGAAAGCAACCAGTGGCATGAATGGCCTGCCATAGTTAAGTCCAACTTAAAGTCGATCTTAGTCTTTGTAGGATGCGACCATCATTGTTGGTCAAACAGTTTTTGAGCGTCAAGTCACGCCTGGCTGGAATGCTCCCCAGGGAGTGGAGATTGTGCATACAGTGTGTGCTGGCAAGCACTGAATCCAATGACCGGGGTAATAGTATATTTGTAAAGCATTTAGAGACGTCAGAGATGTATTAAGCGCTATATAAAAGCTGAATATTATTATTATCAATATAATTTGTTTACTCTGGACGTTTGTGGTTTTTCCGTCTAGATGAATGGATCAAATTTGACGACGACAAGGTGACCCCAGTCCACAGCGAGGACATCCTGAAGCTGTCAGGGGGAGGGGACTGGCACTGCGCCTACGTCGTCGTCTATGGCCCCAAGAGGCTGGAGGAGATGCCTCCGGAAACAAAAAAAGCAGAAGAAAAGTCAGAAGATGTCCCAATGGAATAAAGAGGAATTGTTTATATTATGTCAGGGATGCCAGTTTTCAGGCAAAAGCCTGAATTCAGGCCCTGGCGATTTATATTGAAGCCATAGTTTGGGATTTTTGTGTGTGTACAAAATAGCTCATTCTAGGTGATTTTCAGGCCCTCGGATCAATTCAACATGTAACTGGCATCCCTGATATTTATGTGTCTCTGTGTCTCTCGGTAAGAGGCGCTACTGAATTGGGATGTGTCAAGTTTTTTTTTTTTGGGGGGGGGGGGGGGATGACATTACGAAATCTCTGTCTGCAAATTTGAATATTTGAGGACCTTATTTATCCGCAGTAGTAATTAATTATTGGAAATGTGCACCCTATCTCATTTGCGAAGGGGGTAAGATATTGAGGAGGATTGCTGAAAATATGTGGGAAACTTACATGGAAATCGGCCCAACACTTTGAAAACAAATAAACTTCTAGCAATGCCTCTGTGTCTTACTCTTCTCGTCTTATTACTGTTTAAAAAAAGGAAATCTGTATCGATTGTCCTAATAGCTTCAGATAAATTATTTAAGGTAATCTTAATTGCATAGAGTAAGGAAAATAGATTATTTGATTATAAACAAACCGCTTTTTACATTTTGATACCACAAAATTATTGACTAGAACTGATTATTCCTGTCAGGAAATTAGGTAAATATAGGATAAAAGCGCTTTATTGAATTTTTAGAATAACAGATATTTCGATACAAATAGAATATCTGTAGATACATTCTTTTAAATAGGGGAGAATGGGAGGAGGGGGATGGGTTGAGGTTTAATACATAGCTAATTTTTTTTTCTTCTCCTGCTGTGTACAGAAAGAGCCATTTTCCAAATAAGTAAAACTTATCAAAAGTAAGGTATTATCATCATCATTTGAATCTATTTTCATCTCTCTTAGTCTCTTTGTACAAGCATCTTTTCCTAACCTGCTTTAGTGTTATAGAGAGGAACATTATTAGGAAGAGTGTATGAATAAATCCCAAAACCAGGATTATAATTCCAAAGCAGTTTCGAAAGCACAGAGACTTTATATCGTGATGGCATATGGACTATATATGTATGAATGGAATGTTCTTATTTTTATTGTTGTCCCGGCAGTAGATAACTACATATTTGAAACATGTGGATACAATTTCGCTACATATATCAGAAAGTATTCATTACAAAAATGGATCGTTCTCGATTTTCTTATCAGAGGTCTTATTCGAATCTGTTCCAAAACTGATATTTTTGTGTAAATGAATATTGTGTCAAAAAGCAATGTGATTGCTAAATCGACTCCATTGTTCTGCCCCACTCTCTTATTCAATTGTGAGGCTAGTCTTTATTCCATTCAATTTAATTAATGTGCATGAATTATCAACATGAGGAATGATTGAAGTATACATAAAGAGCTGGATGAAAATCTGAAAAATAAATATTCTGTACTTCCAACAGGTAATGTGTGTATTGTATTGTCACTGTCTACCAACATTTCGTGCAGAATGCAGTGTTTATATAACATGGATATGAAGGATGTAAAATTTGATTATCACCGCGAGCCTGAAGTAGTACATGTATTATTTTTGTGCTATGGTAAAAATAATTGTTCAAAATATTTTTCTCTCACTCCAGTGGTCTCTCTTTCTACTATCTAATTTTCCTTGATTTTCCCCATCCTCTGGCTCTCTCTCCTTCTCATTTTCTTCATCTCTTTTCCTTCTCCTTTTTTGCTCTCTCACCCCTTCCCCCTTTCTCCCTGTCTTTCTCACTTCTATCTAGCTCTTCAATCTTCTCCTTCTATCTTTCCTTGCACTCTATCCCATTCCTCTTAATTCCTTCTTTCTCCTTTCCTTCTCCACCCCCGATAGACCAATTTACTATTAAACATACGGGGGTATTCAAATTTATGGATGTTTTTTTCCTGGGGACTTGGTGATGATTTATTCCATTAATCTGTTATTAATGAATGAGCTACAATACTTGGAATCCAGTCTGCAAACATTACGTGTTGCTATGTCAGGCAAGTCTAGGGCAGGCAAAACAAATATGCATAAAATTTGAATATGTTGGTAAACTTATATATTCCTATCACTTTCTATCTTATCTCCCTTGCCACATACTTCTTTCTTTTCAAAACAGTTGCATGTAGCTATGAAACTCAAAACCTTACTCAAAACAGCCAGTTATATAAAACATTTGTTTTAATTTATAAATGTACATTGCATATTAATCGAACAGTACAAGGCTATCAGCTACCTGTATTACACAACAATCTTAAACAAACAAACATGAAAATAAATGAATTACATGTTACAAAGTGATTTACATCATACTTTGCCTATTCAAAATCATTGTTTTTTACTCATTAATCAGCTATAAAATTTCTTTTTTAGTCTCACAATTACATGAATTAAGTTCTTTTTATTCTGTGAGAATTCTGTTCACATTATTACCAGAACTGTCTAAATTAATGTACCCATTTTTTTCTTCTAAAAAGCATGGTCCACTACCATTTATCTAGATTAAAGAATCGTTACTCTCATTTATACAGTATGCAACAGAGAAAAACCTTACACCAACGTGACCTTGATATCAATCACGATGAAGTCATCTAAGAAAATTCAGGGTTACGATAAAAACGTTATTTTATTGTTAAAAACATTTTTTTCTAAACCAGAAATGTGCTTTCACTGCAGTAATTCGCTCAAAGTCATTGATTGTAATACCAGTCATGACTGGCTAGGAACAGTGTATTATGGCACATGGGAAAATAAATAAAATTGCAGTTTATTTTTTACATTTTTAACCCAATAAAATGCAAGTTCTTGAGCATTAACCTGCATATAAATTTGCAAGAAAATAAGACCTTGACAAAAAAATCTTAACGTAAATGTCTATGGGAATGTTTTAAATCATGTTTTTTAAGTTAAAAAAGGGGCGATTTAAAAACGAAGTCAGGTTTTAAACATGCCAACCCTGATTGTTCTTGTATAAATGACAAGTCTTTGGAAAGAACTGCACAAAAGCTTGATATACAACTACATGTAATTTGTTCTTTGCTTTGGGTATGAAAATACATGTATAACAGATTTAAAAGCGCAGCACTGTCTGATATTCCGAGTGCTTTTAAAAATTTGACCCGTTCATGCTGAATCTAAATAATAACTTTAAGCAGCTATAAAAAAAAAAATCTCACTTAATAGAAAGAGCATACTAGGAATTGCATTGAATTACAGGATGAACTCTACGTTTTCTTAAAATAGAGGTAGATTATGTCAAAGAAATTTATGATCAAAACATTCATATGTGAGGAGTTATTGAGGTATGATTGTATACTTGTTTTTTTTTTTCCTATGTGCCTTCTACCTTGGGGCACTGCTCAAAACACATTATGGATAGCACATTATTATAGGTCCTCTATTAAAAGAGAAAAGACCTTCCTGAATTCTGACAAATTTACATAAATGGGAATGGAGTCTCGCACTTCCTCACACTGGCAGCAACATTACCGATTCAGCCACTGATTAAAGGCATCGTTTAACAATGTTAAATCTGAGAAGCACGGACCTACATTTTACCAGTGTCTGTGATATGGTGTAATATTGAAGCCCTAAAAAGATTGTGCTTCAAAATGATCAAGAAGTGCCTCAAAAAAGTTTTTAAAAATTTGAGTGACCAGTTTTACCATACTCCTTTTCCCCAATAGACTGTCACGTGTTGTGAAAACCGTTAGAAAACGCAAAATTGGGTTTTGATTTCCAATCACGAATATCTTGATAGTCAGACAGGCGATCAACTTGCAAAAGTCATGGGGTTCCTGACTGACCTAAAGGTTTATAATTATCATTGCAGCATGAGCTAAATCAAGGATTTTTTAAAGGATCTGAGACAAAGTTACAGGATCCCTTTAACAGCAGATGGACATCATTTTTTTCCTTTCTTCCATCTCGAGGTTAATGACTTCTTTTCTTTCTTCTCGGTCAGGTTTTTTAAGAACTTGGTCTGTTTAGCTTTCTCTTCCTCTATCCTCTTCTTCTCAGCTTCTATCTTGGCTTCTATCTCAGCTTGTCGTTTCTTCTCTTCGATCTCAATCCTGGCCCTGTGTTGATAAGAGGAGGTAAGAGAGAACAAGTGGAGAGATGGCAATAGATAAATTAAAAAGATGCTGCTGATGAAATTTCTTACTTCTACTGTAAATAGCGATAACATTAGCGGTGTTTAATAAGTACTGACACTTTTAGCAGATTCATTATTAAAATGGCGATATATGATGATATGATGATATTACATTCACTAAAACTCGAGTACAAATTCAAGCATATTTGAATATGTATGAACATGCACTGACACATTTTGGCAACTGATGACACATTATATCAAGTCACTACAAGAGAAATAAATACCTTTTTATACAAGATATGAACCAAATCCCATAATACATAGATATAATTGAGCAATACATTAAAATTAGATATTTGGGCAACCGTAATTAGGCTGAAATTATTCCATTCATGAAGTTCATTTAAATCCCTTTTGAAGCGGAACTGTATTACAGTAAAATCCTGTAGGAAAAGACCACATGTGATATATAAAGATCTTTATTGATGGTCTCATGAATCCCTGTTTAGTTCTCATCGAAACCTGTATTTAAGGGATAAAGACCACCTGCTCATACAGCCTGATTTCTTGTCTCCTTTGAGCGGTCTTTATATACAGGCTTCACTGTACATATACTTACTCGTTGACAAAATCAACACAGTCATGATGACCATATATCTCGGCCACTCTCTGAGGCGTATCACCAAACCCGTCTTCCATGTCGACCGAGGCACCGGACTTGTAAAGTGCCCTCAGTGCTAATATCTTCCCCTGCTCGCAGGCGAAGTGGGTTGCCGTCCAGCCATCATCAGTCACAACATCTAGCCTCGCCCCATAGCTGGCCAGAAGCCGGATACTCTCCGCATGCCCTACAGAGCAAAGAATTCAGTATAGTTTCATGTTATCGGTAGAAAAGAGATAGAGGGCTGCCACTGAGGGAGATCATAGAATATTCAATTAATGCTTTTTGATCCAAAGATATAATTTAAAAAAGTAATACAGACTTATACTTTTATGAAATATTTCTCAAACTTTTGCTAATCGATATCTCACATTTCCCTTGTCAGAGTTTTTCAGACTTCTGTGCCCCCCCCCCCTTTATTTTACAAAATCCTGCTCCCGGGTTAAATAACTAAAATAACACAACAAAGTTTGAATATTACTAAAATACCAGCATTTGACATATGTAAATTAACTTTGATGAATCAAAGTCCAGGGCAAATGTCACTAGAACACATATCTGGTCCGCCCCCCCCCAAAAAAAAAAAAAAATAAAAAATAAAAAATAAAAAAAAATTAAAAAAAAAATTGAAAAAAAGAAAGAAAAAATAAGATAGAATGTGACACATGTAACTTACCTTTTATAGCAGCCCAATGAATTGGACATCTGGACTTCCATTCCAAGTCTGGCCCATTGATATCATATTTGCCAGTTGTCAGCAACGATTCAATTTGAGTACTGTCTCCTGACGCAGCTGCCTCATGAAGTTCAGTCATCACGATAGCAAGATGATTAGTCTATCTCTATGCTTGCAAATTTCATTTCTACTCCAGCTTCATAGGCATTAATTGACTCCAAACTATATATTGTCAAGTGATTTGAAATTTATTACAAATTATCTGTAAAATGTGATCAGTTCAGGAGGAATATTTGTATTAAAAACCAACCCAATGAGCTATTCAAATTTCTATTCTTTCAGACCATGATAATAAATAAGTTTCTTTGTTTATAATTTAGGAGTAAAAATGGTTGAAATCAATTATTAACTCATCAATTCAACCTTCTCAGTACAAAATTTATATACGGTAGGCTTAATTTGGCTTTAAATCGATTCTCCACAATGCTTCAATCAAGCACTTTAAATCCATTGAGCTAGTTTTCCAGTAGATCCACACTAAGTTCTGTTTTTAAAAAGAAAAGCAAAGGAAAATAAATATATTCAGAGAAGTGTGTTTGAAAAATAAATATATTAACATAGGTTGGACATTATCAGGTGTGAATATAATATGGCATCTTTCATTTGTCATATTCTGAATGCTGAAACTACATACATGTCGTAAAACATTGATGCTAGCTAGCTCACAAAAGGTCTTCCTCAGAGAAAAATGGATAAAACTAAATTTACTGATGCATTCTGGCAATTAATAAAATAAAATAAAGAGCACCACATTTAACAAAAGTAACACTTAATTTGACAAATTATGAACAGAAAATGCAAAGAACATATGACTTTTGACCTACAAAAATAATAGCATAAAAACTTATGCAAGTTAAAATTTAGCATGCATTTCTATTCTATGCATTTCTATGTAGAGGTGTTGTGGTCGAGTGGATACGTCGCCGGACTGTCGATCACAAGGTTCGCGGTTCGAGTCCCGCCGCCGCACTAATGTCCTTTGGCAAGACATTGATCTACATTTGCCACACTCACACACCAGGTGAAGTAAATGGGTACCTGGTAGGAATTTATTCCTTGAAATGCTAGAGCGCCGTATGGCAGCCGTGCTAAAGCCAGGGTCACTAATCGGGAGTGCCAGGAGGGTCAAATCTGACTGACATGAGCGCTATATACAAGAACCCACTATTATTATTATTATTATTTAATCATTCATTATTACATCGTATTTTAATAGTCTACATGCATTCACAATTGGTCAAACAAATTTAGAATTAAAGTACTTGTTTCGTTTCATAAAGTTCTTCCGATGCTTAAATGCCACTCTCTAACAATATCAAAGAATTCTATACATTTTGCAATGTGGCACTTATGCACTGCACTAACGTGACGAGTTAATTCAGTCTGAAACTCCGGGCATGTGTGGCCTGTGGGTATATTATTGGAATATAATTTACAGGTGGCGATATATCACAGTGACATAATCATGTCGGTTTATTGGCCAAGTTGTGTAGGCTGGACCTATACTAACAAAACAAACACAGCTTACCCCCTTCTAAATGCCCGCAGACTCTACTGCATCCAAAAACACATCTTCAATGCCCCTCCGTCACCTTAAACAGGAATTGAAAGAAATATATTGGTGGAGAAAACTCGCAGGTGTAACTACATCCTTGTACTCTGTACATAGCAGGAGTATCCATGAGACTTGTATACAACTTTATGCAAATAACTTTTGCCTTGCAGACACACGCAGGATTTTATATATTTTATATACATCTCAAGAAATCAAGATATTTCAGTAGTTTCGATCAATCAAACTTACAAATGTGATATTAGAATTTTCTAGGCACCTCTTTAATCTGTCAAAACTATCCCTACTGACTAATACTGAGCAATATTGATATATCAATAAATATTATTCTATAGGAACGACTTTTATTTGAGGCTAACTAAGTAAGTGACGTCATTTACTGTATTTTGATCCTTCCTTCATGATTCACCATCAGCCCTCATCATCGTCCTAAATCTACGTTTTTATTAAATCGTGAGAGATAAAGTCCGTAAAAGTAACACTTTTCGTGACATACGTTCTATTTCAAGATGTTTTCAGGCGTCCCAGTAACTCAGGGCTCATGTAAGTACCAATTTTATGCGATTTTGCTATTGTATATTAATACAAAAATTATTGTTCAGTCCCATACACTGACATCGGTGCGGCATAATACGTGCTTTTGTTAGTCGACAATAAAGTTGAACAGTAGCGGTAGCTGGTCCGAGAATAAGGATCGTCCTCACAAACGATGATTGTCTTCGTAATTATGAACAGACGCCATCGCAGAAATAAAGATCGTCCGCATTTTCGCTGACAATTCTGATTTTCGATCCACGTGTTGGCGACGCGAAAAACAAGTTCCCCAATGATTTTCTTGATGCATTTTACATTGACTTTGTACAGAGATTTCACGTGATGAGCGATATATCCGCAGGAAAACGGACATCCCCATCACCTGCAAAGCGCAAAATTTAAAAGACGTCCGCGTATTTGAGGATATCCTCGTTTATGCAGACGATCCTCATTCTCGGACCAAAGGAGAAGACATGTGCATCTGCAACTTACAAGCGCCGGAGCAAGGCAATGAAACTCTAACAGTAACAGTGAACAGCAACAGATGTCTGGTAGAAGGAAAGGAATAAGAAGTAAAATGAATAATAACTTCAATAGGAAGAAAGAAGGAGAAGAAGAAAAAAAGAAGAAAATGAATCGTGATTCATGAATTGAAGTTGAAGAAGAAAAGGAATAAAGATGTAGTTACATGTATTGTTAATTGGAGGAGAAGAAGAAGTGAAAAGAAGGAATGGGAAAGAAAAAGGAAAGGGAAGAGAAGGAAAAGAAAACTGAGAAATATCTAATTTTACACATAAATTGGCTAGTGAGAGGAGGTTTTGAAAAAGTCTACACTACAGTTTGTGTGTGATTGCTTATCTCATTGTGTGCAGTTTTCTCAAGAAAACGGGCAGATTAGCTGAAAGTAAGCTGCTATATTTTGATTTTTTACAATGATTTTCAATGTTATTTTGAAATTATATGAAAAGTAGATCTATTTCCTTTCCACTCATATTTTTAAAATATGAAACTGTTAAATCTAGAATCTAGATAAAGAAAAACTGAAGGGAAAACTTTCACCAGATTTCAGCAAAAATCTAGTATATCCCCTTGTGGGTACCGTCTGTGTATTTCTGTTTTATTTTTAAAAAAAATGTCTAGACATATATCTACTAGATTTGTATTTTGTCTGTGAAAATTCCAAACTTTTAGCAGAATATACTGTATGAAACCTCAGAATCAATTTATCAAGCAATGTAACAAAAATTGAATCATACTTTACAATTGATGTTAATAATATGCAGTAATAATTTTTTCCTTTTATACTACCCCATTCAGCATCGGCATCCAGTCATCGTCCAGAACTATATGAGGTAAGTTTAACAAGCTATTGGGTAAATTACTTTTGTAAGTAAATTGTTGAATCAGGTCAAATAGATTTATTTTATTTTTCCAAAGATTATACAATTGTAATTGCCAAATTCAAAACTGATTAAAGAGATCTATTGATCCACACTGACATGAAGGTTGACAAGGGAGAAAAAAAGATGATGTTAAATCTCTCTTCAAATTTGTTCCTTGTTCACATAAAAAAAAATGAATGAATAAATGAATAAACAAATAAATAATCAAATTCATGAATGTCAAGAACATACTGTAGATCAATTAATTCATTTGTAAGCAAATAAAGAAATTCCTTATTAACCGTAAATGTTTTTTTTAATTTTCCCTGTTTTGTCTCTTTATAAAATTAATTCACTATTTTATTGGTATTTTTTGGTTTGTCGGATCTAAATTCATGATCTTTTCAATACAAAATATCATTTTCTGTGTGCTAAATAATTCCTCATTTTGCTTTGTACATGATGATAAACTTTTGTTGTGAACTATGTAACTTTTCTTTAATAATACCTTTTTGTTCATAGGAGGTGAAACTTTACAGAAATGTGCGAGAAAGGGAAAAATACGATAATATGGCTGAACTGTTTGCAGTAATCAACTCCTTGGAATGGCTGGAGAAAGCATACATCCGAGATGCAGTCCCTGCAAAAGAGTAAGTACAGGGACCTGTTTCACAAAGGCGAGCCTTTTTTCAATGACGTTGACAAATTACAAATACCAGTGACAAATCTGCTGATCACCAATCAGAAGCAAGGATTTCAGTAGCTTATAACAAAAACTGTCATTTGTCACTAATAATAAGTTTTATGAAACGCCCCCCAGATCAATGCATAAAACAATAGTACTGACTTAAAAGCACTCAAATTATACCAGATACATGAGAGGAAAGCACAACAAAATTGTCTCATCTGTTTCCAATTTTGTGGCATTAAGAGTTGCTATTTGAATCTAGGATTTAAAAAGAGAGAGAGAAAAAAAATTGTAATTGAGCATTAAAATCCTCAAAGTTTGCAGCAATTTTGATAAAATCAAATCTTCTGGTTTTCATAAAAATTGGCAATTCCTTAACTTTTCTGCATACTAGACTAGTAGTTTTTGCCTGTGGTTATTCTCTTCAAATGCATCATTTGAAAGAAATTTTAGCAATAAAAAAGAAAAATACTGATGTTGCCACAAGATGATGAATAAAATCTCTTTGATTACTTCAGATACACAGGTTCATGTTCCAAGCTTCTGATGCAGTACAAGGCATCTTTCAGACATGTCAAGGGGGAGTTCACATCAGTGGAAGACTTCATGAAGAAGTACAGAGTAAGTATGAAAGGAGCCAGTGGTCATAGATTAAAAGCATGTACAACTATATTGTTTTTGACATCTGTTTCCTTTATGAAGGATGATATGTTAGCATACCTGCCAACCACCCCGATTTAGGCGGAGTTCCTCCGCATTTTTCATACCAACTCCGAATTCCGAGTGCATGCCTCAAAACTGCGATTTTTTTTAATTTTAAAATATTTTTAAAACAAACGACTGTTGCATAAGACTAAAGCATAACACAGCACTGATAACCAGATCACGCCGACATCCGCGCTCGCGCTCATAGAAGATATACACAGCGCAGCCCGAACGTGATCGTTAGTTCCGTGTACTGCAGTCATTATCCATGTACTGCATGTACTAGTACATGGAAGCACGTGCGCAAGCTATATCGATAAAGTGTGTGCGGACGTTGTACTAATACATACACTACATGCAGCATTGTTGCATAGTAACTGCATGCGTATAGCCCACGTGTATTTATATTACATGTGCAGTTGATACACCTGCATAAACACTGTATACATTGGCGTGTTTTCTTCAATGCTTGTGCGATGACTGCGATCGTGGAAGCTTGTTATTTACCGGACTTCCTCGGATTTATTTTGGATTACTACTACTATATACCTTTGCAAAATAGGGCTCCTAACTGAGGTGGGTAGTGAAACATGTAGTTTTGTGAGTGTTCACATTTTGATATTTCAAAAATTGTTTTATGTGTGGGGCGAAAAGGTTGAAGGAAAAGGCCCATTTGCACCATTAAAATGGAGAGAAAAAAAAATAGACCCAAAAGTCCTGTGTACCCCCCCCCCCCCCCCCCCCCCCAATCTACGGGCTACTACCCCAATCCTTCGGTGGTTCACGACCTCGTAGTCCATCCAGAAAAATTTACTCCTAATTTCTCTTGTCTCAGGTTGGCAGGTATGTGTTAGAAACACATATGGCTAATTAATCTTCAAGTACCAAATCCAGAATCTTTCTCATTTGAGAAGTCTGAATATTTTTATTTGATGCCTGCCTACTGAGATAAATAAAAAACAATGAAATATTGTTAATTGGCCATATATACATGTATGTGTTCACTTGGTAAAAAGTTGTGGTTCTATATGTATGTTCCATCAATTTCACTAAGCTATCTAGTATTTTATCATATACAGTTAATGTTTGTCATGTGAGTTGATATAAATCTGGGACCTGGAAAGTGTTTTACAAAGACTAAGATCGACTGAAGTCAGAATTAACTATGACGAACCATTCATGCCACTGTTTTCTATCTGCATTTACTGGAATTGTTCTCTCAAGGGACATACAAATCATGGTCACAAAATCTGCAGAATTTACTTTTGTTGATAGTTCATTATTGAAGGAAAAAACATCATCTAAAGATCATAATGGTGAGAGCAAACATTGGCATTAACAGCCTGCCATGTTTAAGTCCAACTTAAGTAGATCTTAGTCTTTGTGAAAAATCCTTCTTCTCTTATAAACCACTGGGATTAATACAAATCAATCACAACTCTACTAATAAGAGATAGAAGTTTGTGAGTTGGTGATTGAGTAGAGGACATGCGATCATTTGGATCAATTGCAGCTCTTTGTGAAACAGTGCCCTCATGATTTCAATTGTTTATATGATTTCAGATGAATTGTCCAGCAGCAATGGAGAGGATAAAGGAAGACCGTCCAATCACAATCAAGAAAGACGACGGGAACACCAGCGAATGCATTGCGCAGATTGTATCGGTTAGTATTGTATTTTACATGTACCTCTACTGATATTCTCAAAACGATTGACCAATTTCATCTTCTCTTTAATCCCACTAGCTATCATGAAATAAAAATTGTGTTCTATTTATTTACTGTTGGACTTAAAATCTAATCAATTAAAATCAATGACTATGTTAAAATTTGTTAAACATGTTTTATGAAGTTATATTGAAGATGATGTTACATGTATGTTGGTGCAGAGTCCCTTTGGAATTAGTGGGTGTTGATGAAGTGGTACTTTACAACTCAACCATAGTTGAGGATGATCGACTAAAGAAAAGTGATTTGCCCTTGAACGACATATTGGGGCATGGTCCTTGCATGTTTCTCTTCGGACCAATTCATGTGTTTGTGGATGTAGGAATACATGTACCATCTAGTAGGGTTGAGAAAAAATATATGTGCATAACAAAGGCCTTTTAAAGGTACTATGTCCCATTTACAGGTAAAAAAAAGAAAGGTTAAATTCCAACAGCATTTGAAAGACAATACTTATTTAAAACTTTCCTCAAAACGAAAAGGTTTGAAAATGGCTTTTTGGGGCAAAATAACGACCATTAGTTGTTGAATAGCAATCACTTAATTAATAGTCTGAATTTCACAATTTTGAACCAAATGGTTGTACGTTTTGCACTGCACAAAGATTCAATCAGTTTAATTTGGGGCCTTACAAGTACCGGTAGTGGGTTATTGATGAAGAAGAAAAAAAAGATGTCAGTCAGTCACTGAATAGTGTCTGCCAGGGAAGTCTAGAAAGTAAACAGGTTTCCTTGCAAAATTTGAATACTAGTACACTGAATTTCACAGATAGGACATACATGACATATTCATAATTACTTTAAATTTCTACATAATTTATTGTTGGCTGCAAAAGGGACATAGTAACAAAGAGTTATGCATTAAATTTGATTACATTACGAATATGGCCTATTTATATGGGCCTCGTGTATGTTGTGTGTAGAGTATTTGAAGCATCAATATTGGTATTGTTTTTTCTCTCCTTCAGTTATTCATCACAGTGATGGACAAGCTTCGGCTAGACATGAAGGCAGTGGATGAGGTCGAACCAGAGGTCCGGGAGCTCAGTGAGACCATGAGTAGGATGGGGACTCTACCGGCTGGATATGATGGCAAGGAACGCATCAATAAATGGTAAGTGCCATCTCCAATTTGTTCCTTATATCATCTATTTCTATCAACGTGATGTATTTATTTCTTGTAATTATGTATTTTCTTGAATATTACTGCAACGCCAGTGGAAACCAAATTTCTATGTTACTGGCTTGCAAAGACCAAATAAAATATTTTTTATCTTGTATCTTGTATTTAGTTCCTGAGGAATAATGTCAATTTCACTTCAGATTGTTTGTTCTCTCTCTTGAAAGGTTAATGATAATGATAATGATGATGATAAGAATGATGATGATGATGATATTGATAATGATGATTATAATGATAATGATAATGATGATTATAATGATAATGATGATGATAAGAATGTTGATGATAATGAAAATGATGATGACAATGGTAATGATAATGATAGATATTAGTAAGATACTGGTAATGATAAGAATGATGATGACAATAATAATGATAATAATAAAGATACTGATAATAATGATGATGATAACAATAATGATAATAGTAATAATATCTCTTTATCTCGAGCAAATATCCTTCCCAGGGGATCTCCTCAAGGTGCTTACTAAGTACTTCAATTACCCTCATTGTTTTTTTTTCTAATATGCCCCAGGGTGCATGATGTAGCCTGTGGAATATAAATAGAAGAAATGTATATTGGATTTGCCTTAAGTTGAATTAGGGCTTTGTGAAACCAGTATGTCTATTCTTTGGGTATACAATCAAACCTGTCTAAGTGGTCACCTCTCTATATAGGCCACCCATCTATAGTAACCATGTCTTATGTCTTTCTGGAGAAAGAAATGTGTGTTGTATATAACCTGTCTAAAAAGACCACCTGTCTACAGTGGCCCCTTTTTCTCTTTCCCTTGGGCGGCCTTTATAGACAGGTTTGTGGAGTTCTTGCTACAAAAACAAATCAAACTATCCGCCAATGCATTGAAAAATAAAACTTTGATTTCCAATCATAAATATCTTGATAATCAGACAGGCGATCGGCTCGTAAAACTCATGGGATTCCTGACTGACCTGAAGGTTTATAATCATGATTGCAGCTTGAGCTAAATCCAGGCTTTTGTTTAAGAATCTGAGGCAATGTTACCGAGTCACTTAAAAACAACAAACAAACGATTCCTGCTTCTCTTGTATCTTAGGTTGACGACAATGAGTTCCATGAGGGCAGCAGACGAACTCTCCGAAGAACAGATCAGGCAACTCCTCTACGACCTGGACTCGGCGTACAACAGCTTCATGAGAACACTGAGTGGTGGATCACAATAACTAAAGGCAAGATGACTTCCGCTGTACATAATGAGTTAACCTATTGCCTATCGAAACCAGGTGGCTCCTGTATCGAAGCCTATTGGAATAAGAGAATTCAGTAGTCAACGGGTTAAGATGATTGTCTATAGAAGTTTTCACAGAGCAGGTTCAACTATTAAAGGTATAGACCAGTTTTGTAAACGCCCTCTCTCAAAAAATGAAATGGAAGCTCTTTTTACCAATCATGTGAAAGAATATGTTTTGACTAAGACACGTGATGATACAAATTTTGTCGGGAAACCGCCTACTAATTGATGTATTTGATAAATTATTATATCTATCCGGACTGGATAGCTATCGTGTAGTCCCATATACATCTTTCTGTGTATAGTGCATATAACTTTACCAAGACTGGGCCAAATTTCTTATCATTTTGATGATTCCAGAACCTTGCAGTACACACCAATACTTATATGCTAGATGATCAAGCTTTTCTGATCGATTCCACAACCTTTCTTTCACAATGCAATCGCATGACCAGAACTGGTCTATACCTTTAAAGGATGTTGCTTAAAGGGCAATCCAAGCATATAATAAGTTCATTAGTATAAAAGCAGAAAAATAAGATGAACAGAAAGGCGAAAGTTTGAAAAAAATTGAACCAATCATAAGATAGCTATGAATGTTTGAAATATGAGATCCCTAAATTTATGCGAATCTCAAATTGGCAGTTTGGTCAGTGGATTGTGGCGTAGTCGCGATTACTCTCTAGTTTGTCGTGTACAAAAATATCACTAATTTCTGATTTTTTTTTCAAAGTTCCCTCTCCCTCGGGACACTACTGAAAATAAATTATGGATAAGAGGAAGAGTCAAACATTTTAGGACAAAAAAGTTATATTTTAGTCCTTTTGTGTGTTGGAACAAATGGGAAAGTTGCCGGGCCACTACATCAAAGAGACAATACGGATTCAGCCAATTTAAAGAGCCCATAAGTATAGTGATTTCAACATTGAGGATCGTAACTTTCTTATATTTGGTCTGATACCATTCAACCTTTCACCAGGCAAGATCTCTGATTTTCTTCTTTCCTCTTAGAGTAGTTTGCTATCAAGGTTGGATTTCCCTTTAAGACGGTGACCGGGATGTAAGGCTACTACCCCTTCTTACCCCTACCCTCGCCCCCATGCCACCCACGGGCATATCCAATATTTTAGTTCGAAATTTCTCAGTCTTTGTGTACTTGTTTGCACTGATGCTGGGGAGAACTTCTAAAAGCATGAACAAATTCTAGCAGCTATTTTGATATCACCCAAAACTGATGCTGAAGCTCTTTATGATCATCATGTTCAAAATGAAGTATTGAAGCAGGATCATAAACATTAAACTTCTTTAGTAATGCATGCTTTGAGTGAGCGAAGGCACTGACGGGTTAGGGATTTGCAGGATTTTCGTCTTGGAATTTTGAGAAATACATAGTTTGAGGTTGGAGGTTGGAGTTGAAGTTGTTCTGTGAATACTCCTTGTAGACAGGAGTGATATAATATATTTTCTTTTATGATCATCATTGTTATATGATATTTTACACTATTTGTTTAAAGGCAAGTCTGGGGTATTTATGATTTTGTTTGTTCTTTATTTCTCCAATACAAATACAGTCGACCCTTAACCGGGTAATTTCACAGGTCCTAACTGTTAGTTTTCTATTGTTTTTTTTAGCCCAGGGCCCCATCTTATTAAGAGTTAGGATTGATTCAAAATCCTCCAATCAATCGCAAGCTTGCAGTCTCCTATCTCTTTTGTACATAGTTGCGATTGATATCAACTCTCTATAATATGGGGCCCGCATATAATCATTTTCAATATTACAAGATAATCTCATTGGTCCCAGTGGTGTCGCTATACATGGTTCCACTGTACTTGTGTAATGGAATATTTTTTCCTATTCTACTTCATATGTTCGGAAGGTCCTACTTTTATGAGTGTGATTAGCTTTAACAGCAGTCATTAAGTACTGGTTACATAGAATCAGTATTGGAAATTATACCTTGTATTCTTTCTCATATTTATTATTATTCTTACAGTATGTGAGCTGCACTCATTTGCAGTTGTAAGTTCTAGAGAATATGTAGATTATCCACAAAGGAAATCATAAACCAAGAATTTTAATTTCACTTCAATTAAATCGCTTTGATTAAAAATATTATGTGAATTGAAAGTCTTACAAAATGATTGATGTAGATTTCATTGGATAAAATTGCCCTTCATTTAAAAATGGTCTGAATTTTGAGTCAATGATCAAAATATCAAATTGCTCAAGTTCTTATATTTTTTCATTCTAAGATTGTCCCTGAACTCACCCTTTAGTGTTGGGGTGTACTCTGCAAACAAAAAAGTAGTTACTCTAAATGCAATCTCTATGTAGAACAGAAACATATTGCAGTAACTACATTCTGAAGACTGGAAATTTGATTCAATGAGCTTACATGTAATTATGTTAAAAGACTTACATTCAATAAAATAAATTAATTGATATAGATATACATGTTTAAGCAAAATATTAATTCTTAGCTAGATTACGATATATAGTTTTTTGTACAGTATGCATGTTACTTGGATAAACTTGGATACATTTTTGAGATATTACTTCTATTCCCTGTAAAGTCTTCTTGTTTTACCTCAAGTTAGGGTCGAGGAATTGCCCCCCCCCCCCCAAAAAAAAAAAAAAAACATAATTGTTTATTGTATGGATAACATTGACCAAATCTTCAGTTACCAACAAAATGCATTATACCAAATGCATAACATGAAGCCAATACACAATGATAACAATCACAGTTGTTTAGGGAAATGGCTTTTTGATATAAGCAAATCGTCATGTTGTTAATGGTGACTCTTGCCAGTAGAGTGCACAAGCTTTACAAATTTCGGGGAAAAATAATAATGATGATAAAATATAATGCAAGATTTATTTAGTTGTCATATTACAAACCATCACAAGTCCGAAATTAATTGTATACAAAGGAGATTGAACTTAAGATATGACCACAAAAAAAGAACTCTTTTATTTTATGCTGTTACCTCATCATTCTGAGATGAGATTTCATCGTTAATTTTGTTTTATCACTACTCAAGATGATTAAAATGGATATTATGTTTATGTAAATTTTATACATGTACAAGTATATACATTTATGCTAATATAGGTAATAGTGCAATTTGTATATTAAATTTTGTAATGCAGCAAAATCATTTTCTGTTTGTGCTTTGTTTTCACCTTGGTCTCAGTTAATATATGTTACCGTCGTAATGTCTAGTATTACAAACACAGTGATCTAAAACATGCCAAATCATCCTCGTCATTTTAGGTTAAATTCCACCAACATGATCCCAAAGACTTTCAAAAAATCAATTTAAGGACAATTCAAAAGCCTTGTCCATAACCTTTTGAAATTTGCAAACATAAATTAATGACATATTACAAAATATAAACGTGATTTCTATAGGAAATTTAATAGAGTATTGACTTTGCCTTTGAGTCGATTTCTTGTAAATCTTTGCAATAGTGCTGCCTACACAATAATCTACACCTTATGATTTACTACATGCACATCTAAATGCATTATAGTCTATCTTACTATTTACATGTCACCGACGTTCATAGTTATCACCCCTTTCGTCATAGTCAACATCAATGGTTAAAAATCACTTTAAAAATCGAATAAAGTACAATGAAATAATTTAAAATACAATACAATTCACTCACACTTCAATACAAATATGACATATGCTTTCTCTTTCTCCATTATAATAATTATATAATATGGATATCACATATGTTTCCCAAACTAGACTCGTATTTCCCCGAGTCAAAGACTAAAAAGTAAAAGGCCAGAACCTTTTTTTGAAAGAAAATTATAGCTTTGGTGACGGGATATTGAATTTCCTTTGAATATACTTCGACTGTTTTGACAGTGCGTGTGATTATAAAATTGTTCCTATCATGTTACAAATAGAATTCCTAATGAAGTTCGACTTTGAAAAAGTTCCCTTGTTTCTCAACACTAAATGCACTGACATTGACCTTTCAATAATGCTTTCTTCACACAAATTGACAAGCGCAATGACATAAATATAATGACTTGAATTGCCAAGCTTACAAATCCCATTTCACAGCAAGCAAAACAACTTTAGGATTGACTAATTAATGACATTATGGTGGGAGAAGATGTTATGGTATTACAGGTCTAATTACAACATATAACCAATTACAGGTTTAATTCTATTTTTCAAATGTTTCGTTTTCGCAAATCAGCTCATTAGGCAAAATAACAAAAATGGAGTGTTTCTCGTTTCCGCCCGCCTCCTTTATGGCCGTTGCCTCCCCCTTTTTAATATTTTTGTTTACAGTTACTGTTTATAAGAAAAAATGTCTGTGATATACATTTTGTTTAAATAGCTTCTAAAGTGATACAAATCATTCGTCTTGTCATACATTGCATCAGTATACTGAGCACAACATCTGTAAATAAATAAGCTCGGCCAGCTATAAAAATAGCATTGCAGCGAACTTGGACATGAATAGCAAAAAATTACAAGATATTTGATAGTAATGCCCTGCATGGGCCTGCATACCTCCTCCTTTTTTTCAAAAAGTCCGGACGAGAAACACGTTTTTTTTATTATTTGGCCCTATACGGTTTCGATATCGGGTTTTACAATAAAATAACTCGTCCCCATCTGGGAGACGAGGTGCCATCTCTCGTAGGAGCGCGCAAACAATTCGCACTTTCTCTCTGTCAACCCATCGGCATCCTCGTAATTGAAGCTCACACACAATTCGTCCGCAAGGCAGGAATTGGCACACTGCGAAAGCGCGTTCACGAGGTGTAAGTGGAGTCGTCCATTCTTGGTGGAGGGGAGGGCTTTGTCGAGACCAACAGCGATGTAATGCGCAGCGCGGAACGAGTCGAATTTGGACCGGTATGTATCTGAAATGAACAAAAGATTAAAACTTGTTGGATAATTTGGTTTGCAATAATTTA